GTTTGGGGGGGGGTCTGGTCGTGTTGTTTGGGGGGGTCTGGTCTGGTTGTGTTGTTTGGGGGGGGGGGTCTGGTCGTGTTGTTTGGGGGGGGTCTGGTTGTGTTGTTTGGGGGGTCTGGTCGTGTTGTTTGGGGGGGGGTCTGGTCGTGTTGTTTGGGGGGGGGGGGGGTCTGGTCGTGTTGTTTGGGGGGGGGGGGTCTGGTCTGGTTGTGTTGTTTGAGGGGTCTGGTCGTGTTGTTTGGGGGGGTCTGGTTGTGTTGTTTGGGGGGGGGGTCTGGTCGTGTTGTTTGGGGGGGGGGGTCTGGTCTGGTTGTGTTGTTTGAGGGGTCTGGTCGTGTTGTTTGGGGGGGGGGTCTGGTTGTGTTGTTTGGGGGGTCTGGTCGTGTTGTTTGGGGGGTCTGGTCGTGTTGTTTGGGGGGGGTCTGGTCTGGTTGTGTTGTTTGGGGGGGGGTCTGGTTGTGTTGTTTGAGGGGGGGGGGTCTGGTCGTGTTGTTTGGGGGGTCTGGTCGTGTTGTTGGGGGGGTCTGGTTGTGTTGTTTGGGGGGTCTGGTCATGTTGTTTGGGGGTCTGGTCGTGTTGTTTGTGGGGGGTGGGGGTCTGGTCGAGTTGTTTTGGGGGGTCTGGTCGTGTTGTTTGGGGGGTCTGTTCGTCTTGTTTGGGGGGTCTGGTCGTGTTGTTTGGGGGGTCTGGTCGTGTTGTTTGGGCGGGGGGGTCTGGTCATGTTGTTTGGGGGGTCTGGTCGTGTTATTTGGGGGGTCTGGTCGTGTTGTTTGGGGGGTCTGGTCGTGTTGTTTGGGGGGTCTGGTCGTGTTATTTGGGGGGTCTGGTCGTGTTGTTTGGGGGGGGGGGGGTCTGGTCATGTTGTTTGGGGGGTCTGGTCGTGTTATTTGGGGGGTCTGGTCGTGTTGTTTGAGGGGTCTGGTCGTTTTGTTTGGGGGGTCTGGTCATGTTGTTTGAGGGGGGGGGGGGGGTCTGGTCGTGTTGTTTGGGGGGTCTGGTCGTGTTGTTGGGGGGGTCTGGTTGTGTTGTTTGGGGGGTCTGGTCATGTTGTTTGGGGGGGGGGGGGTCTGGTCATGTTGTTTGGGGGGTCTGGTCGTGTTGTTTTGGGGGGTCTGGTCATGTTGTTTGGGGGGGGGGGTCTGGTCATGTTGTTTGGGGGGTCTGGTCGTGTTGTTTTGGGGGGTCTGGTCGTGTTATTTGGGGGGTGGGGGTCTGGTCATGTTGTTTGGGGGGTCTGGTCGTGTTATTTGGGGGGGGGGTCTGGTCATGTTGTTTGGGGGGTCTGGTCGTGTTGTTTGGGGGGTCTGGTCATGTTGTTTGGGGGGTCTGGTCGTGTTGTTTGGGGGGTCTGGTCGTGTTGTTTGGGGGGTCTGGTCGTGTTGTTTGGGGGGTCTGGTCGTGTTGTTTGGGGGGTCTGGTCATGTTGTTTGGGGGGTCTGGTCGTGTTGTTTGGGGGGTCTGGTCGTGTTGTTTGAGGGGTCTGGTCATGTTGTTTGAGGGGTCTGGTCGTGTTGTTTGAGGGGTCTGGTCGTCTTGTTTGGGGGGGGGGGGGGGTCTTGTCGTGTTGTTAGAGGGTCTGGTTGTGTTGTTTGAGGGGTCTGGTTGAGTTGTTTGGGGGGTCTGGTCATGTTGTTTGGGGGGTCTGGTCGTGTTGTTTGGGGGGTCTGGTCGTGTTTTTTGGGGGGTCTGGTCGTGTTGTTTGGGGGGTCTGGTCGTGTTGTTTGAGGGGTCTGGTCATGTTGTTTGGGGGGGGGGGGGTCTTGTCGTGTTGTTAGAGTGGTCTGGTTGTGTTGTTTCTTCTGCTGTTATTTATATGCAATTGTTGCTGTGACAAGAAAAGCATGGTCTAGTTGATGTGGTGGAGCTAAGAAAAACATGGTCTAGTTGATGTGGTGGAGCTAAGAAAATCATGGTCTAGTTGATGTGGTGGAGCTAAGAAAAACATGGTCTAGTTTATGTGGTGGAGCTAAGAAAAACATGGTCTAGCTGATGTAGTGGAGCTAAGAAGAACATGGTCTAGTTGATGTGGTGAAGCTAAGAAAAACATGGTCTAGTTTATGTGGTGAGCTAAGAAAAACATGGTCTAGTTTATGTGGTGGAGCTAAGAAAAACATGGTCTAGCTGATGTAGTGGAGCTAAGAAAAACATGGTCTAGTTGATGTGGAGGAGCCATGAAAAACATGGTCTAGTTGATGTTGTGGACTAGTTGATGTGGTGTAGCTAAGAAAAACATGGTCTAGCTGGTGTAGTGGAGCTAAGAAAAACATGGTCTAGTTGATGTGGAGGAGCCATGAAAAACATGGTCTAGTTGATGTTGTGGACTAGTTGATGTGGTGGAGCTAAGAAAAACATGGTCTAGTTGATGTAGTGGAGCTAAGAAAAACATGGTCTAGTTGATGTTGTGGACTAGTTGATGTGGTGGAGCTAAGAAAAAACATTGCCTAGCAGCGTGCTAAGAAAATTACGCCACATATACCATAAATCTCCTGAAGAAAACAGATTATCTCTGTGTGATCCTCGTTAATCCGCTCGAGGTGTAAACAACAAATATCTGCTCACTTCCAACCGTTAACATTGTCTGAACTAAAGGCTGAAAAGCTCTTTTTCCTCAAGAATATCAGCAGTTTCCATCAAGCTGACCCATATACTGACCCGAGAAACTGACTGGAAAAACTGACCCATAAACTCTTTGTGCATGATTTCGACTCAAAACAGTGTTCAATCGCGCAAATGATGCAACGAAATCTCAGTTTTTAATATGACCCCCACCCTCACACACATACAACACAATGGCTGGAGGTGGGAGCTTAAGAAACACCTTAGCTCCAAACAATTTTTTGACACATTATTTCTGAGCTTCAATAGTTTCAAATCTGCCATTTTGTGGCGTATCGTCTTTAATATAATCATACCTCGGCTCATTTTTTAAGTTTTAATGTCCGGTTTAATTTTATTTATTTTCATGTTTTTTTGTTTTTTTTTTTGTTTTCGCTATCCAATATCTTTAACATACATATTCCAGCGCCCTCTACATACAAACGTTAATGTTACAGAGATCAAATGTGCTATACTTGTCTCACTTCTGCGCAACTACCCTCTCCCCCCCCCCCCTACGCACAAGCACTTACAATAAATCTTATGATAACATTTAAATTGTGTTAAACATATACCTCTGGACTCCCTCTTCCCCCCCTCCCACACACAATAATCTCAATGATTTCATAGATCAAATGTGCTGAACATATCTTACCTCATCCCACCTACCCCACCCCCACACAATAAAACCATGATGACTGTATAGAACAACCCCACCCACACACAATAAAACCATGATGACTGTATAGAACAACCCCACCCCCACACAATAAAACCATGATGACTGTATAGAACAACCCCACCCCCACACAATAAAACCATGATGACTGTATAGAACAACCCCACCCCCACACAATAAAACCATGATGACTGTATAGAACAACCCCACCCCCACACAATAAAACCATGATGACTGTATAGAACAACCCCACCCACAGACAATAAAACCATGATGACTGTATAGAACAACCCCACCCCCACACAATAAAACCATGATGACTGTATAGATCAATTGTGAACGTCATAGTTTTACACCGGGCAGCTTTAGGTGTGGGATTATGGGATATCGAGTGCTCAATTATAAAAAAAGATTTTTAATCTTTCCAGTTTCAACTCACCCGCTTCTCAGTTTTTTTTATTATCGATCTTGCAAAGATTCTTCAAATCTGCTTCTAGTGTGTTCTATTATTATCCTAGGCAAGGGTTGTTTTTGGAGAATGTAGTAAGCAAAACCTGTCAACAAGCAATCTATTTCTAGCACATTCTCAGCTGGTATGAAGGCGGGGGGTGTGTTGAGGAAGGAGGGGGGTACTAGATAATTAGATTTACATTCATGAATGTACCCAAAACAACCAGGTTTTTTTTTCAGTTATTCTGAAACTTAATTTTCAGCAAGAGACGTTATTAAATAAAGGGTTTATAATAAGGCTTCCTCGTGACTAACTACCTGTTTTAACTGTTTTGATTGGTCCTTATTTTGACCAATTAGTCGACCTGTTTAACAGATGAGTTGTTGAGAACCCGTCTGCTAGAGAAAGTCTTGTATTATTCATCTGCTTCTTGTTTTGCGCGAAGTTTTGTTTTAGTTTTGAAAATTAAAGTTTCTAATTTAAGGCTTAACTTTTGCTACTTCCAAAATTTTCGTTTCACAAAAGCAATTTAAACTGGTGGTACCAAAATAGAAACACGCGATGCAGTGAAGGGTGGGAGGGGGGGTGGCACCAGAAGACTCGGACGATTGTTGTTCATATAGTTATTAAAAAACTAGAGGTTGAGGTATTGTTAGCTTTTGTGTTTTATGTAATGGGTAATGGGGGTTACTCCTTCACAACTACTGTCTGACCCCCCCCCCACCTCCACCATTGATATAAGTAATGTTTTTTATTGTGATTAATCCATTGGGGGGGGTCATCCATAAATGAAGTCACGCTTTTGACTCTTTTCTTCTTCTTCTTCTTCGTTCTTAATTTTTGAATATGGTGGAGGATTCAGACAACAAGTCCAACTTCGTGGACAAACCGGACTGTGGTTTCCAGTTTGTCAGGTGTCCCATATAATTTTTCCCTGAGTGGGGTGGGCTGGGGCCAGTGTCTGACTCTTGCCTGGCTATACAGAGTACAATCAATTCCTATTAGAATTTATTAAAAAATGTTTCCAAAAACGCGAAATAACGGCTAAAATTCGTTTTCTAACATTGCTTTTTTTATAATGCAAAAGTGTGACGTCACACAATCTGAACACCCCCCCCCCCCCCCCATCACACACCGTCAAAAAATTACGGACCCCCCCTTCCCCCGTACCAGTGTGACTTCATTTATGGACGACCCTTTGTTTCTAATCATTTAATTGAATGTTTATGGTTATCAGTGTTCCCTATTAACTCTATGTCCTATGTGTGTCCACAGAATGATGAATAACTCAAGCGCGGACGCCAACGGCACAGAAGAATTCAGAAATTATTATGAGATTTATGCAAAACATTCATCGGCTATATTTATAGATCAGACGGTCACTCCCCTTTTCTACGTCATTGGACTTCCGACCAATCCACTGTGCGCCTACATCTGGTTGAGTAGAAAAACAAGGGCCAACAACTCTTCAGCGATCTACCTAGGCGCGCTGTCGATCTCCCACGTGGTGTTCCTGCTGATGCACGTGCTACAGGAGCTCAAGTACGCCTGGAACATCGAGACGTACGACGGCCATGCTTCCTGCGAGATCTTCCACATGTTGTTCTACATCCCCCAGTACCTCGCCCCGCTCGTCGTGCTCGGCTTCACCGTCGAGCGCTACATCGCCGTCTGCCATCCTTTCGCCAAAGCTCGCTACTGTACCGTCCGGCGCGCAGCCTTCGTGGTGGTCAGCCTCTTCGTCTTCTGCGTGCTGATCAGCTCACTGCAGGCGTATTTCTGGACGTACGACGCCGAGCAGCAGTCGTGCAACCACCGCGTCCAGCTCCAGACTGGCAACTTCATCGAACTTTGGACCTGGTTCACGGAACTACTTTTGTTTGGAGTAGCGCCCCTTGCTGCTCTTGTTTTCAATGTCTTGGTTATCCGCGAGATTCACAGCCTGACGAACTGTGGGCCAGCCCATCTTGGGTCATCGGGGGGGAGTCAGGCCTCCACCGTTACTCTACTGAGCATTTCTTTTTATCTTATATGCACGTGGCTTCCGTACACCATCGTCTACTCGCTAAACAGGCAATTTCCGATGGGCGATTTAAGAATGAGTTCAGAGGAAATCAGCCGCGACCCGACGTGGCAGAGGAACTTCCTGTTCAACACCATTCGGGTTATATTAACTGAGATCACACTCTCCAACTCGGCGTGTTATTTTTTTATTTACTATGCAACTGGTACACATTTCCGGGACCGGGTTCACGACCTTCTGTGTCCCAAACGATGCATCAAGGGAAGCAACCGCCATCTTGAGACCAAACAGTACATCGCTGTGTCAAAATCGAGCAAAAGCAACGGAACAATGATCACATGTGTTTAGCCAAATTAATAATTCACACAGCGAACTAATTAGTCTCTCGTTTAATTAATTAGACGTGTTACATACGTGTGTTATTTTACGTTTTCCTTACGACTTTCTGTAACGTTTTAGGGCACGGCAGAAAATCTGAATCAACAACACATGCTTGGAGTTTGTTTTATCTTTGATGCAAAACATCTGACCTTAGTCACGTGATGCAACACAAAAGAAATGTCAGTTCCTGTACAGCTGAAATTAGATGTTTAAGAAAACAATCTTTGCAGGGCCCCGCCCGCATACCCCGCACCCCCACCCCCCCACCCCCACCCCCTTGTGGCCCCCTTTAATCATTGACATCACAGCGAACTGCATCAGAGCGCCATAAGGTCAGATTGACTGCATTGTTTAAACGAATATCTGGGAACTTGTTATAAAAACATCTAAATGTGTTCCTTGAAAATTCTAAGCTGTCTCCGATTAAAAGATAGAAGAGGCATGTGATCCAACGGTTCGAGTTATCGATCCTGTGTAATCTAAGCGAGACAACCTGATCAGATTGGCTATCGATTGTTCTGATCTGTCGATTTGTTCGATAAAGAGATCCTGAACAAGAGAAGCTAATGCTTCCAGACATTTTGGTGGTTTGTCTGCCATGTTTTAGCTTGTCTAGAGGACTGTTTCTCGCCTCTATTATATATATATATATATATATATATATATATATATATATATATATATATATATATATATATATATATATATATATATATGTATATATATATATATGTATATATATATATATATATATATATATATACATATATATCATATATGTACCACATGTATATACACCAACAAGTAAATTTCGTGCAGGCTTATGTTAGCATTGGAGGAGGTTATTTAAGATTTGCATGTGTTATATTGTATGTAAAAGAATTATTAAACTGTTTAAAAGACTTTTGAATTGCAATATCAACGAGGCTTTTAAAAGAATTACAATTGTAGACATAGTTAGCTACTTATTTTACAATGTGTATATCATTACCATTATACTCAGTGTACTATGCCGTCTAAAAAGCGGAAGTTTTCAAGTTAAATGAACTTCCTGGATGAATAAAAATGGCCGACTTCATTTACATAACGTTATAGCTGATGGATCGTAAATAAAAACCCGTTTCATAAGTTCTAGAGGATTAAAAAAAACTCCAAAAAATGTCACATTCGTGCATTGAGCATCCGGCGGGCGCAGCATCTACGCGCCATTATCGCTAACCTTTCATGGCATCAGCAGCACTCGGTGCTCACGGTCTGCACGTGACTGTCACGCAAGCCTGTCCGGCAAAAACTGCTTCAGTCGCGTGCCCGACGCTGCCTTGTCTAACTTACTTTGTCTGTTTACAAACGTATACGTTACGAGCATTAGCATGCTGTGTATACAAACGTCACAAACTTTCAACTACAAACTCGACGCTACAAACATCTGTAGGCCTACTGTCCTGTGAAACAGTTATCGAGTCTATAAGATATCTCTATGTCCTCTCTTGTCTGCTGTCCAAATGTCCAGCAGTTCTATTCTAATATGGTGTTTGTCCTAAATTTCAAAGCCCCCACCCCGTGTCCACCCAACTGTGTTGTTACTCAAAGTTCGTCCCTGTGACTATTTTTGATGTCTTTGTAAGTCTCTATGACGTCATATTGTCCACACACTTGTGTTCTACTGTAAGGCGTCCGTCTACTACACCTATCATCATTCTGTGGACCCCTTGTGGAGCATAGGGACCTAACCTCACCCCTCCGTCGTACTCGAATTTGGGCGGTTCCTCCAAGTTGGGCCCACGACATTCCGGCTACTTCTGCTTCACTAACAACACTGATCTTTTCCAAGGTGTGTTCAATCCATCCCCATTTTCTCTTTTGTACTTCCTTGCCCATAGGGTTTTATCGTAGATTTTTCTCCAGTTTGACATTTTTTAGGCCACCGAGTGTCCTCCCAGTTCTGTTCTAAATCTGCCGTACGCCCATGCGTTACTTCCGTGAAATTGTATATCGAGCAAGTAAAGACGTGATTGATTGTACATAACAACATAAGAACATATCTCTTTGACCGCCAGGTGTTGAAAGAATAATTGATTTTTTTTCTTCAAGTTTTAAATTCAGAGCACTTTTTCTGCACTTTTATATTAGAAACATTTTTATAATTATTTTTTTAACCAGAATTCAATATTCGCAATTGCTTCTTAATTCATTATTTGCAGTAGTGATCTCTAAATAATTTCTCTCAGATTTCTCCTAATCTGGCCAAAGCAACACACTTCTAGCGGTATAAAAATACGGTTTACACTACACGACCTTAGATAGACGTCCATTCTGTAATACTTCGCTTAAAGTGTAAAATGTGTTTGATTTTTATTTTAAAAATAAACCGCTCGGGGTTGTAAAATTAGAATTCGCTTGTTAGACGATATCTTATCTGACATCAAGATGTTATTTCCGTCTGCTTCTGATGCACGTGCTATCAGCAAATATGGCGGGCTCGCTGCTGTTTATGGCACCGCAAACGCTCTTGTTTGGATTATTTAGATGTGGGATAACTTGGAGATATCTTTGAGATCCCATACCTCCACATTCACACACACATACACATTCATACGCACATACACACTAATGTCATCGCTGACAAATGTATTCAGCACGTTTAGCAAAACTCCTTTCCCCTACTTTCACTTCATCCCCTCCCCCTGCTGTCTCATGTTTCCTCAACCAGTGGCGTAGCCAGGGTTCAGTCGTGGGGTTGGGTTCCAAATTTTGAAATAGAAGACACGGCGACACCAATAGTTGTAACTTAAGACAACTTTCATTTTAAGGCTCCAGTTAGTAGGGGATGTTAGAGCACCCACCCCTAACACCCCCGCCTACGTCACTGCTTACCAGTATAGGTAAGGGGGTCATCCATTTTTGACGTCCACACGCGGGGGGGGGGGGGGGGGTCCGAAAAAAACTGACTTTTGTGGACGCATATGGACTTGTATAAGGAAAAAAAGTGGATTTTTGTGGACGGGGGGGGGGGTCCAAAATCCCAAAAAAAATTGTGGACGTCATAAATGGATGACCCCTAACCACGATCGTTCTATGGTGCCCCCTTTTCTTGCGTAGCTTGTCGTAGCAACACGTATCTGATAGGGCGATCAATGACAGCGTCACATACGCACTGTCCTTGCGGGTGTTTCTACAGTACTGATTTATATATATATATATATATATATATATATATATATATATATATATATATATATATATATATATATATATATATATATATATATATATATATATATATATATATATATATATATATATATATATATTGAAATTCAAGTTAATGTGGTTTTATTTTTACTTTTAACTATTCCCCCGTCTCCTCCTTTATTCTCCTCCTTCCTCAACCCTCCCAGAGCGAATCCTCCCACCTCCCCCATAGAGTTTTGACGTGGTAGGTGTATTAAATCATTTGAGTTATAAGCCGCTGTGTTGACGCTCCATCACAAAATTATCAACAAACTTGTTTTCTCCAAAACCCCACCCTTGACCTTGCGAAAGGTTAGCTTTTTGTTTACAAGACAGATCCCCCTTTCCCGGACAGGTTGACAACTCTGGAACCAGCGCCACCTGCCGGTACTCAGGGTCTCATTAGGCGTGGAACTGTCGGCTGGTGCTGCTAATTACAAAATGATTAATTTGAACGGTTTTTTTTTGTGTCGAGCTCCCCCTACCCGTCAACTACGGAGGCAGGGTAGGTACAACAGGAAGTGACGTCAGGTGCACGTGATCTTCTGTTGTGATGTTCATTAAACCACACAACAGTACACATGTTATTGGTGTTTGGTAGAATCAAATTACAACGTCTACATTTTCAAGCGGTTAGTTTCGCTGGAGAAAGTAAATAAAACGGTTAAAAACGGTGAAAATATTTGTTATGCACACACAAAATTTAATAGTATGTTTATACGAGATGTCAGGCTACCAAACGTACATTGTTGTGAACTAAAATACTTGAAATACCAACTACCTAAACGAATAATATAAGCGTAAAAAACTTCGACATTTAACTGAACGCACATGTTTGTGAAATAAGGTGCTATTTAGACACTCCTCTTCTAACGCGCACATGTTTTAATGAGCTAAAAAAAGCTCAGACGGCTTTGAATTATTACGCTTTGAATTAATCACGCCTGAAATTAATCAGCAATTTTATTGAATGTCTTCACGTATATTATATCCCACTTGACTTCATGAATAACTTAATTTTTTTAGCCAAATAACCAGTACAGTATACAGTTGGACGAGTCCATTATTGGGCATATTTATCTTATCTCGAGTGACCAATATTGTATTCTGCAGTTAGAGAATTTTATAATAGGATTATTGAGTCATATTTATTATAAAGGTTTTTTTAACGTACTGAATTTAAACTATGAAATGATTGGTATTGTTTCAGCATGTTTGTATTTCATGTTTTGTAATTGAGATGAATACTGGATATTTGCATTTGACAAACCTGTCCGCTCTGGTGTGACATTGAGCCTAAAAACACACTTTTTTTTTAATCGATCGTTTGAAACGGTGGCCATTTTTAGCTACTTCAGGACTTATGGCGATGAGCACTTCACATTTTTTAAAATATATAGTAGGTTGATACAATGGGTATTTCACATTTTTACTTGTACTGGGTTTTAATTACGAGTATTTAACATTTCTTGTTTGTAGTGGGTTGTAACATTGGACATAAAATGCCATTTTTTTGTAATTATTGTTAACAGTGGGCACTTCACATTTTTAACTGCTGTATCATGTAACACTGAGCACTTCAGAATTTGTAACAGACTGTAACATATAAGCACATACCATTTTGTTTTACTACTTGTGTATCACACTTGTCGTTAGTTATTGACAAAATGGCGTTTGAATTGAAAAGATAAACACAGCAGATCAAAAAGTAGATTTTATTATTTTCTTCGGTTCTTCCATTAAATGCAAACGCCAGTTATAAGAATTACATAACACTTGAGGTGTTAATGATCTGTTTTAATTAAGGTAGTTATTAAGAAATGTAAAGAATTGTAGTTAAAATGTATTTTGATTGGTGAGTACACCCTGGTGATGTGTCTCATGGTGTAGACTCGTGTTATTTCTTGTATTTGATACGTCATAGTCTTATAAAACATTTCATTTCTTGCATCATTAATAAAGAAATAGACAATTGAATGTTTCTGTGATTTTATTTGTGTGTTTGTTGATGTTTTTATTATTAGTATAAGCAGGGTGTTTTAGAAAATTTAACACATCGAGTGCAATGAACAAAGATTTGTTCTGACAGATGAAGTAGAGTGTCAGTGACCACAGTGATTGTGGGGCTAGCGCTAAACCTCAGCTCTCAGATAAGACTCAGCCCTAGGTCAAACGTTAAACCCAACTAGTCACAGTCCTAGTGACACTTGTCTGTCTAACTCAAACGTTAAACCCAACTAGTCACAGTCCTAGTGACACTTGTCTAACTCAAACGTTAAACCCAACTAGTCACAGTCCTAGTGACACTTGTCTAACTCAAACGTTACACCCAACTAGTCACAGTCCTAGTGACACTTGTCTGTCTAACTCAAACGTTAAACCCAACTAGTCACAGTCCTAGTGACACTTGTCTAACTCAAACGTTAAACCCAACTAGTCACAGTCCTGGTGACACTTGTCTAACTCAAACGTTAAACCCAACTAGTCACAGTCCTAGTGACACTTGTCTGTCTAAGTCAAACGTTAAACCCAACTAGTCACAGTCCTAGTGACACGTGTCTGTCTAACTCAAACGTTAAACCCAACTAGTCACAGTCCTAGTGACACTTGTCTAACTCAAGCGTTAGTTAAACCCAACTAGTCACAGTCCTAGTGACACTTGTCTAACTCAAACGTTAAACCCAACTAGTCACAGTCCTAGTGACACTTGTCTAACTCAAACGTTAAACCCAACTAGTCACAGTCCTGGTGACACTTGTCTAACTCAAACGTTAAACCCAACTAGTCACAGTCCTAGTGACACTTGTCTGTGTCAGAAATGTTGAACAGTTGCGCTTTTTGAAAAAACATTTTTAAAAATATTAATTATAAAAACTATGACGGTCTGCAATCATTATTTAAAAAAAACAATAGCGGTTAATGAAACTTAGTTTTTGTAGATCAATGAAATTCAATGTTGGATCACAAATGCGCCTATCACAGCTGGTCATGTCTGAGCATTGGGACCATCATACAAGTAGGGTGTAAGCAAAATGTTGACGTGAAGGCGGCAATCACGAATTCTTTCACATCAACATCTTTTTACCATATAGGGACATGGTGTTTGGTATCTGAACAGAAAGACTAGACCAATGGCTAAATCTGCTTTCCCGTTTAACAAGGCGTACACTTAAAAGAGACGTATGGCTATTCTATTCAGTCCATCGATTACGAAACATAATATTAATAATATGAACAAGTGCTTCATTTTGTGAATCACGAAGGCTAACTTGGAGCTTTGATACAATGAAATTTCAATTTTATAATTTAAGCTTCGAGCTCATTTAATTTTTTAAAATATTTTACGCATGTTTTTTTTCTGTTCACTCACCCTTTACCCCTCCCCCCCCCCCTTCTGTTCACTCACCCTTTACCCCTCTCCCTCCCCCCCCCCCCCCCCCCCCCACACACAAAACTAAAAATCTGCGGCTGATGAAAAAGAACACAAAGAAACTTCTAGTCAACAACAAAATAAGCATCTATGTATGCGTTATTCATCGGTCGTTGGTTAGAGTATGTGACATGACTTTCTGACGCGTCTGGTCAACTTTTGAGAATGCTAATACCTGGATGACTAATATGTAATATGCATAAATAAACAGTCACTAGTATAATATATATTAAAATTAAGTCTGAATGGGGAATTTTAAAAACGTGTCGGTGTCTCCTCCGCATATTGCATGTCTCATTACATACAACAGTTAGCTAGAAAGTTTTAAAATGTAATATAGGTATGGAAGTGAACAGTTTAGAAATCCAAAAGTTTGGGGATCATTGACTGCTTCATCCTCCCTCAGTTTGTCACGGCATCCGTGTTAAACCAATGAGGTTGCTGTACTGTTATTTTCTTCTAGGATAATGTGTGAATTCCAAGAAAAGATATTTCAAGGGAAATAACAGTGACATAACTATACGAAGCAAAAGTTACTAAGTTCCGTCCCTTGGTTTTCACAGTCAATTCATGATTATTGATACAATTAGCAAAAATAATAATAACAATACTTTTATTAACAGTGTAAGTTAAATGTGATGATTTTTAGAATTACTATTAACTCTTTTCTCCTCTACAATTTTTTTAGTCTGAGCCTAAAAATATAGTCCAATAAATACGTAATTCAATTTTTTTACCAGATAGATTTCTTTGAAACAACTTCTGAGAATATTAAGTATAGCATCTGTCTGTATCAGGCAGAGACAGTAAGTCAAAGTAAGGGGGTTGCACTGTTAAAATTATTTTTGGGGCAGTTACAAAATCGCTAGCCTGCACAGCTTAGCTGCCAAACGCCCATTCTCCAGCCGTCGAGCAATCGATGTTTTGCTTTGAGAAGAAAATGTGCGTCACCAGTAACCAACTTGCAGCTGAAGGTGAGGCAAGTAGAAAAACGTTTCCAAAAAAAAGAAAATACCAACTCAATCGGACAATGGGTTAAATTAATATTCCAACATTTGAAAAGCCACCAACCTTACAACTAGGTTGGGGAGGGGTCGCTTTTTCAGTTTCACCACCTTCAATAGCTATATATATATATATATATATATATATATATATATATATATATATATATATATATATATATATATATATATATATATATATATAAAGAGAGAGAGAGAAAAAGAGAGAGAGACGAGGAGGGAGGGGGGGGCAGTGTTTCTTACAGACTTTTTTCTCCGGGGAGGCACTTGAAATTTTCGGGGGGGGGGTAGACTTTCTTTTGGAAGAGGGGCGGACACTGCTAAATGTATATATTTTCTATATAAATTCCATTTCGTTGGGGGGGGGGGGTTGCGGTAGACTTTCTTCAGAGTTTCTTCCAGTTTCTTCCAGGCATCTCTTCGGGGGAGGGGGGGGGGCGCAAAATTGATTGTCCCTGGCGCCAAAATTTGTCGCTATGCCTCTGAGAGGGGAGACTGGCTAACCTACCTTATTCCCATCCCCTATGCCTATGCCGAAATACTTTCCCTATACTTAAAAAAATGTAGGCGTGATTTGTCATTCAATGTTTTAAACTTCAATACTTTGTTGTAGGGTGTTGCTTTTTAAAAACGTATGTTTATTAGTGAATTATTAGGCAGTGTGTTTTTTGTATTAATATTTAATAATAATAAAGCTGCAAGAATGTTCGACGTTTAACTAAAGTATATGACTACTAGCAAAAGTACTAGATCTAGATTCCAGTATTAGAATCTAGAATCTCGACTACTTGAATGAAGCCTACGCTACGCGGATGCTGCTGTTGTTGTTTGTTGTGGGTTGTTTTTTTTTTAATTATATTTAACTTGTGTGTATAAAAGGCGAATATAGTAATATTGAGTAGACCTATCTACTGGTGCTAATTTATATTGTATATAAAACTAAATAAGTCTAATCGAATATGGTCTGCAAATGAGTAGCCTACGTTGCATGTTTCTAGGGATATATCGTCATAGGCCTATATTGCAATTTTTATAATCATTTAAAGCTAACTAAACGGGTTTCCTTCACATAAGATTTAGTTAGTCTTTCCCACAATGCCGTATTTCTGAAATACACCGAAACACAGTTTTAACATGGCGGAGAACATTAACAATTCCGGAAAATCTGGTGTTATAACAATAACCGTTAAAACTCCTAAAGAGAAACATAATGTAGAGGTGAAAGACGGAGCTTCTGTTCGTGAGGTATAATTTTAAATTCTGTATTTTAACTTTTTGAAACGTGTTTGTCACACAAACTATGTGTTGTGAAGTAATACTACGAATGCTGCGTTGACTGGTGACATTTGACCCGCGGTGAGATAATCGATGTAGAACGTGCTAGATCTTTTCTCTTTTGCTTGTAAATTAGAAGTTCTATAGGTCTAGTTGTAACGTCATTCATTAGCGACATGGTTACTATGTAGGCTAATAAATATTGTATAACTTTATTTGGAGAATTGGCTGCCAATCCGACTAAAGTGTTGAACTCAAAATACTCAAATACAAAATTAATAAATTAAGACAAAAAAAACAAACTAAATTTACTTTATTTAACACACCACCAATTCATTTTATTATTTTACTAGATCTGGGGGAAAAAAACATTGTTGGAATGTGTTATACTGTTATACTTATAGCAATGGCATCTTCTTTAAAAAGAGATGTTAGGTTAGGCCTACTGGACTGGCAGTTAACTAAATACTGAAATAAGACTTGCTAATGCCAGTAATGCTAAGCCAAGGCTGTCCTTAACCAAAACCATTACCCCAGTTTGGGGTATGTGGAGTTACAACTGTGTCTGATAATGCCACAATAATTTCTGATCATAAGATTAAATCTGAGATCAAAATACTTATCGCAACACCTAAAAAAACAAATACACCAAGTTTTGAAGGGTCAATTATCAGACATCTGTAATATCATTCGGGGCCTACTGCCTCATGATTTATTATTATTACTAGATTTGGATTCTTATTAGGCCTAAATGTTGAATACCACTTTTCTTTAACAATCTAAACTATTTTAGGACACAAATTTGAATTTTGAATTCTAAATAATTCTAAAATACTTTATGACCTAAAACTTTTTGTTGCAGCTAAAGGAGGAAATACAAAAAAAGTTTAATGCTCCTTATGAGCAACTGTGTATTATCTTTGCTGGAAAAATCATGAAAGATGAGGACTCCCTTGAGCAACATGGAATAAAAGATGGATTAACAGTGCATCTAGTCATTAAATCAGCCAACAGAGTTAGTACTCAAAATGTTTTCATATAACAGGAAATAATATAATATTTAATAAAATATCTATATGTGAAGAAATACCAACTTGTTTTTAATCTACTGTAACTTTCAGACTGTGCCAGACCCACCACCTAGGACTTCAACAGCTACCCCGCAGGTTTGTTTGTTTATTATTAAAAAAAACTTCTTTATTTTTTTAAGCATGACTTACTCTTGCACTTATTACATTGATAATTTCTCTCTGTAGACTGCCCCAGATATATCTCAAACACCTTTTTCACTTGGAGGTATTGGAGGACTTGGTGGCTTGAGTGGTCTGGGCATGGGCTCTGCTAACTTTATGGAGATGCAGCAGAGAATGCAACGTGAAGTAGGATTGCTTTTTTAAATTGCTGTTTAGTTTGTATTTTACTGTATAATTTGACATTTTAAAAAGAAAGTTTTTTGTAGTACATACTTAAGAATGTTTGCTATAAATGTTGCACTATCTGTAGTAGATAAAAATATGTTCAAGCTTCTCAATTAAATATTTTCTTTTATTCTCTATGAAAAACACTTTTTATATAACCTGTTTACTTTTAGATGCTGGGTAATCCAGATATGTTACGCCAACTAATGGACAACCCTTTTGTGCAATCAATGATGTCCAATCCAGAAATTATGAGGTCTTTGTTAATGAACAATCCACAGATGAGAGAACTTATGGAGGTATAAATATTTAATTATCTATTAATTGTTTGGTTTTACTTTTTTTTTTTATTTAGATCTTAAATTTGAAAAAATTTTAACTCTTGCCACAGCGTAATCCAGAGATCACTCATATGCTAAATAACCCTGAACTTATGCGTCAAACAATGGAATTGGCCCGCAACCCAGCTATGATGCAGGAACTAATGAGATCGCAAGATAGAGCTATGAGTAATTTAGAGGTAGGAATAATTCACATACACCTATATTTATATTACATGAAATTTAAATGAGGTTGTATAAAATTGTAACTTTCTTTTCGACGTAGAGTATTCCTGGTGGTTTTAATGCTCTAACACGCATGTACCGTGATATACAAGAACCTATGATGAGTGCAGCTCAAGAAACAATGGGATCTAATCCATTTGCTTCCCTTGTGAGCAATACCTCTGGTTAGTCACATTTATATATTATTTACATTTATACTTCTTACATTTATAAGCTTCAATTAATTTTTTTTTTGTTTTTTTATTCTAATCATGTTTTCTATTCAAGTAAAACAACCATTGCTGAATTTGTCTTGTTGGGTGCAGTAATTATATCACAGAATTTGTGCTTGTGCAGAAAATTTCTTTATAAAAATTATGTTCTTTTTTAGGACTTCAGTCGAAAGTAAAATTTTCATTTCAGATGTTTTGAAGAAGTTATGTACATTGACAAATTGCTATAGATTTGAATTGAATTTACTGTTGTCAATCTGAAGGTGAAAATACACAACAAGGCAGAGAAAACAGGGATCCCTTGCCTAATCCTTGGGGTAGTCCACCTGCAAGTACCACAGGCAGTGCTGCCAATGTTACACCAGGAGAAACCACTACTACTGCTGGTAACCCATTTTAGTCCCCTTTATTACACATTACACAGTCTTATATAGCTGAAATAATTTGTAAACTAATTTATTTATTGGCAATATATAAACTGAGCGCTTGTTTCCACAGGTATGTTTAACACCCCAGGTATGCAAAGTTTAATGATGCAGATGATGCAGAATCCTCAAATGATGAGCAACATGCTTCAAGCACCGTACATGCAGTCAATGATGCAGTCTTTGTCTGCAAATCCAGAGCTTGCTCAACAGGTACATTAAGAGGCATCAATAGCAACACTGTCATTTTGTTGAAGCTAATTTTCCTAATTTACTTATTTTATTAAAAACCAACTTTTTATTATTTTCTAGATTATTGGAAATAACCCTTTGTTTGCCAACAATCCACAAATGCAAGCCAATTTAACAACAATGATGCCCACTCTTCTTCAGCAGGTTAGTATATTTAAATATAACAGAAGTAAATCAAAATGGGCTGGAAAAACTACTGAAGTCTAATTGCTGCTGTTTTTTTTTCTAGATGCAGAATCCAGATATTCAAAACATGGTGACTAACCCTAGAGCTTTGGAAGCTCTCATGCAGATACAAAGTGGTTTAAGTCAGCTCCAACAAGAGTCTCCAAATCTTTTTTCTAAGTAAGTGATTACTAGAATAGCTTTTAGCTTTTTTTTTTGTTTGCGTGAATGTTAAAACCATATTAACGGTATAGTTTGTTCTAGGTGTATACATCATACGAGAGAAAGATAACTCAAAAAGTTTATTGTTATGATAAAAGTTAATGTTTTTTATTTGTTTTGTTTAGGTTTTCAACTTAAAGTATTTGTTTTTAATCCTATGTTGTTCTTGCCATTTATTTTCTAGTGTGACAGGCTTAGGTGGTTTACCAACAATGATGACAGGTAGTACAACATCCACAGCTACTCCATCAACCACAACTTCCCCCTCCTCCACAGTAACAGCAACTACTCCAAGCAGAGGTGGTATAACCTCTGCTGGGGGACCTCTAGGTTTAGGGCAGCAAAGTAACCCAGAAGCTTTTTCTACCATGATGGCTCAAATGATGCAGATGATGGTTGGAGGACAACAGGTTAGAAACTATACATTTCAAGAAAACTAAAGTTTAGTTACAGATCATGCTTACAAATTTTAATGTATTTTTTTGTTTGTTAGAATTTTAGTATTAAGAATAACCACAAGTTAGCATACTGCAAAAAAAAAATCAGCTAAAGGTTATTTTTAAAGTGTAATTTTTAATTGTTGAACAGAATCAGCCCCCAGAGCAGAGATATGCATCACAGTTAGAACAGTTAGCAACCATGGGCTTTGTTGATAGAGAAGCAAATATTAGAGGTGGGTTGTCTGTCTAAAGATATAATTAGGCAATTCGTATTTACTAAACACTGATAATTTTGACTTCTTCAAAATATCTCATATTGTGCATGACACAGTTGTTGTTAGAATAATTTATTATATTTAATAAAGTTATGGCATTTAAATGTTAATTTTAAATTCGACAGCCCTAACAGCAACATTTGGTGATGTGAATGCTGCTATAGACAGACTTTTACAGCAAAGATGATGCTCTAACAGACTTATTTCAAAATCTACAAACTAACAAAATATTTATTATTTTATATTAAATAATGATTCATTTGTGAAAAAATACATTTTATTTCATTATTCAAATATTCCAAAATCCTGTCTATGTTTACATGTTCAATGTTAAGTTATCAAAGACAGTTTAATATAGGTAAATGTAGGAAATATATATGTGCTAACAAAATCTTTTAATTATTCTTCATTTAAAATCTTTTAAATCTTTCTTTATTTTTATTTCATTTCAACTTCCTATCTGGCTTTTTTTTTAAATGTACAAAGTAAGATTGCATTTATAAATGAATAAAAATGTACAGACACACAAAGGTTCTAATGTACATTGGTTTACCCACAAATAAGTGGTGGGTGTACTCTGGTTTTAACACTGTTGTGTACACTGCTGTGTTCAGTTACACTAGCAGTAGGTGTGATTGTGCACACATTGTGTACAGTTGTTGAAAGTATTTAAACAGAAAAACAAACTACCGGTTCTAGATTTACAAGTTTTTGAAGGTAGGTTTGTTCTGACTATGTCATTTGTTTTAACATACCCTTGGTTGTACCAGCTGACAAAGTTTGTGATCGCATACAAGTTACATTTCAATTATCTTGTGTCATACACCTTGTCTAATAAACCTTGATTTTTCATTAAGATTAATCTTTTTTTATAAATAAGTATTTTATTTTTTTTTAAACTGTTTAAGATTATGTATTCCTTGGACACAGTGAAGCTGTTTTTAGACTGAAAATTTTAATACTCTTCGCTTTGTATGAAATATCTTAATATTTTGTTGAAAATGGTTTAGTATTTAGCACTGTCTTTGGCGTTTACACAATACTGTGTAGGAAAAGTTATTTTTATCAATGAATTAAGAAATGTGTTCAGTTATTCAGTAAGTTAACATTTTGAGTTGCATTTAACATTTTCAGAACTTAGATATTATTGAAATTATTAGAAATAAATATTTATGCCTAAGAATTCCGTCATTTTATTTAGATATTTTTCAATTATTAGTTATTTAGATGTTATTCAGTTACATTTAATTAAAGTCAACAAATAAGAATTGTTGAATTAGAATACTTTTGGCCTCTTTTTTTTTCAATGTGGACCTTGTACTACTGATTAACAAAAATGGGTTATTTTAGATCTTGTGTGATATGCTAAGAATTTGGTGCATATCTATACAGACTCAGTTTTATTTTTGAAACGTAAAAAAAAACGTACATTCTTCCTAAAAAGCACCAAACCTATTTCTCAAGTCTATTTTTCCCCCACATTGTTTCAACTAACTACCTCTTTCTGTTGAAACACTGTGTTGTCTTCTACCAGCTGATTTTAAGGCCTTTCTCTTAACGTGTTGCATTGGTTGTTGATTCTCAAGGTAATTTTTTTTTTCACTGTTTGTGCACATAAAAAATTAAAGTTGTTTACCGATTATAAATAATAGTTTTGTTTAATTTATTTGTTAGTTTTTTTAAGGCTAATTCTAGTAAGCCCTACCCTATATTATAACTGCTAGTGTTTTATGCACTTAGGAAAGATTCCATTTTTTTATAACTGGCCCTCGAAATGAAATGGCAGAAAAGTTTAGTATGGTAAAATGAACATATAGGGGCCTTAGTAAAATACTATTAAAAATGCTCAAGGTTTTGAACTATGGTACTAAAAATAAATATATAAGATAAAAAAATTTCCTGAAGGTAATTCAAGATCTAAATATTCTTTGTTAGTAAATTGTTAAAGCATTTTCCTCCATTATTAACATTTTTTACAAGCAGTCTTTGCATCTTTACTGAATTGTTGTTAACAAAGAACTGGATACTAATCACTATTTGGGCTATAGAATAAGTGCTGCTGATACAAAAGCTCTTAATTGTTTTGTAATTAAAATAAAGAAGGAAGTCCTTTTTTATCTGTAGTTGGTAACCTATCACTAATTTAAAAAATCCCCTAACACAGCCTACAAGGTTATATTGTCTTAAGGTTGAAATGACACAAAAATAACAGTAATTTCATTGAAGTTACAATTATTAATATAATATTATATAAAAAGGCTGTATAAAACTTTACAGAAAATTTTAAAACTTCAGACAAAGAGGTTGGTATTGAATAAAGAGCTTATTGGTTACAATTTAAAAGCTTAAACTTAATCAGGGGTTATCAAGAAAACAAATGAGTTGAAAATATTAATTTAATAGTATAAACAAAGATTAAAAAAACTTTATTCAACAAAAGAGATTATTTAATATCCATGAATTGAATGTCCATCACTAATACTATATCTCGAGGGAGTGGTCTTGGAGATGGAGAGAGAACTGTAAAGACAGATTTGTCCATGTCTACAGCAGTACTGAAACAATAAAAATAAGTTGGAGTAAAATAAAATCTATTTTCATATGATATTATTAAACAACAAAGTACCAGTTATTCTTAAGTAAATGTACTATTTAAAAAAATATTCTTACACAACAATAAAACCCAGAACATTAGTTTCAACAATATCTTGATCAACAGTTGCAGCAGCGCTGATACTCAGTACATGATGCAGAAGGTTATTGCCTAGAGAAGCCATTAGAAATATATTAAATGAATTTCGATAGTTTTATTAAAATGAACTCTCATAAAGCAATCATTTATAAACTTGAGTTGACAAATGGTAAAGGGAAAATCATTCTTTTTTAGAAATTTAAGGTTTTAGAGCAGACAAGTGGGTTGTTGGATCAATAAAGCTCATGGCTGCTAAACTGAAAAAGTCCAGAGTTTTAACCCCATGACAGTTGCAGCCCAATAGCTGGTGACAGCAACTCATCTATGAGAGAAAACTCCAAAATATAACAACTTCAGCCTTGCAATTTGCTCTTTGTTGGCAAAGACAAGGAACAAAGCAGATCCAGAAAGAAAAGCAGGCTGAAATTTCTTCCAACATTACAATTAAGATCAAAGAAGAAGAATAAGAGCAGACAAAATGTTGTCCATTAAATAAAGTCCTTCATGAAAAGTCCCTGATGATTTTTTTTCATTTTCCCTTAAACTTTAACAATATTCTTACTTGGAATTAATGGAACTAGTTTAGTCTGGCTGTCTTGAGCTTTCATTCCCAATGGCAAGCAAGATTCTGGTAGTGATGGTGCTGAGGAGAATTTATAAATTTAAACATTTGTTTTTGCTTACAATCAGTCATATATATATATATATATATATATATATATATATATATATATATATATATATATATATATATATATATATATATATATATATATATATATATATATATATATATATATATATATATATATATATATATATATATATATCTATATATATCTATATATATCTATATATATCTATATATATATATATCTATATATATCTATATATATCTATATATATATCTATATATATATCTATATCTATATCTATATATATATCTATATCTATCTATATCTATATCTATCTATATCTATATCTATATATATCTATATCTATATATATCTATATCTATATATATATCTATATCTATATATATATATCTATATATATATCTATATCTATATATATCTATATATATATATATCTATATCTATATATATCTATATATATATATATCTATATATATCTATATCTATATATATATATATCTATATATATATATATATATATATATATGTATATATATATGTATATATATATGTATATATGTATGTATATATGTATATATATATATATATATGTATATATATATATATATATATATGTATATATGTATATATATATATATATATATATATATATATATATATATATATATATATATATATATATATATATATATATATATATATATATATATATATATATATATATATATATATATATATATATATATATATGTATATATATGTATATATATGTATATATATGTATATATATATATATATATGTATATATATGTATATATATATATATATATATATATATATATATATATATATATATATATATATATATATATATGTATGCCAACAGAGTACTAATTCTAACATACTTTACATACTAAAATCTAAGCAAAAAGATTGCTACTACCTCCAATTTTAAATATTTTAAGATCATTAAACTTGACATCAAAACTGTGAGGAAAAAAGTTATTTTTCAAGCCATAAAAATATTCCCTGATACGACTGTCTCTAGCATCCGCTCTTGCTGCTTGAGATCTCTCAACAACCTAAAAATATGATATGATTATAGCTTAATAAAAATAACTGCTTAATAATGAACATCTGTAGTTCTTAAGAAATTAGCTAACAATATAATGGCAAAATAATAGATTGTGGCAAATTCTCTGCCGTTGACTTTTATGTCAAGGTTTTAAAAGTAAAAAGAAAATAAGTAGTTTAGAAACCTTTAAGAAGTGTTTACATGCTAAAATATATTAGAGATCTTGTATGTCTTTGAAAGAATTAGCTGCATCTGAATGGGTCACAATTTAGTAGATCCATAAGATTTGACTACAAACCCACCCATCGACATTTAGACTTACCCCTCCTGATTTTGGAAGTAAAACTATCCTGACAAAGTCAGGCAGGTCACTCTTGAGCTGGTTGTAAAGTCGCTCCTGATCCAAGACACAAATTACATCCACTAAAATATTAAATTAAAACAGTTATAAAGTGTACACAAACAATCAGCTGGTGATTTTTAAGCAATTTTTAAAGATAGATCTTTTGTTTTTAGTGTATTTACCTTCAAAGGCTCCAGCAGCTTGTTTCAATGCTTCATAACCAGCTCCTCTAATCCAGCCAGCTGTGTTAATTATGACTCCACTACAATTCACTAAAAAAAAGCAATTATCAAAGCTATAATCTAACTACATACTTTTCAGCTAATTAAAGTTGTTAATAAGTATAAGTAGCTTTTGTTTGAGAGTGTATTGATAATTTTTTATGCGAAAAATTAAGAGAAAATTAATTGTGGTACTCCATTGACCCCAATAAGGGTTAAGGTATGATCGATTGATTGTATAAATGTGTACCTTTTTTGCTCTGTTCACATCGCACATTAATAATTTCTGCCAAACGAGAAACTAGCAAATTGTACAGCTGAAAGTTATCATTTGGGCTCTTATAACCATAATGAAAGACCAATGGTGCTGTTTGCTGAAAACCTTCCTCTACATCAGCTGTTCTCTCTACAACAAGAGCTCCTGTGAACATAGATAACTTCATTTAGTTTCTATAGCAGCAAGACTTAGATTAAGATTTTCATAACCAATAAACTTTAACTCTCACCTATTGTTCCTGGTAAACCCATGTTGCCCTAAAAAAAAGTATAAACATTGTATTTATTAAAATTGTAATTGATTTTAATTAAACAATATTTTTAAAAAACATACCTTTGTTGTTCTTTTTCAAAAAAACCTTGCATATATTTTGTATAGTTTTTAGAAATTGGTAACAACAAAACAAAGGTTTAACCAAATATTGGGGAGAAAACATGCCAAACAACCTGGCCAACATCAATGTCTGCTAAAACTGGTGATCTTCCAAGTCGAACAGCATAATTGACGAGTATTCTACACAAGGTGGACTTCCCAACATCAGTTGGACCAACAACTAACATCTGGTCATTTATAAAATAAACATTAAAAATTGTTAAAAATTAAACTAAAAATAAAAACATTCTAAATAAATCTTAGAACATATTTTCTTACAAACAGCAACATTCCTATCTAGCTCCTTATAAAGTTTAAAGTAAATGATAAAGTTTTGTATTCCAAAAATACATATTTTTATAATTTACCCTTGGTCCTCTTGTGTTTTCATTCTCTGCTTTTTCTCTCATTTGTTCAAGGGAAGCATGTGTGTTGACATAAACAGTCATTGGAGTCTCTTTAGAAATGTAAGCCACTTCTGCTTTGCCTTTTAACTAAGATGAAAGACAATATTATAAAGGTTACATAGTACTGAACCACTTGGTTTTTATCTGCCAATAAGCAGTTCTGTTGATTTAGAAAGTCTGTGGTAAACTTAAACTGAGCTGAATTTGACCTCTTTATATAATGAAAAAAAGGTGATTCCTTCAAAAGAAATGTGAGCATTCACAATATATATGATTTACCTGAATGACACAACCATGCCATGTAAATATTGCAATTTTCGATCCTGACACAAAAATATATTTTTTATTTTTCGCTAATTCTGTTCCAAACATTTCACTCCGGCCTTCCAGCATCTGTTAATAAGCAGTGAAAACATCAAAGCATCTGTTTTTCAAATAGGTATTTTTTCTAAGTTATCTGAATTAAAAATAATGTTTTTAATGAGCTTCAGCCTACATTGATTAATTAATAATACTGATAAAAAAATGATAAAATGTTTACCTCAATTTCAACAGTAGCTTTGGCCTCAACTTCAAATCTAAGTTCAGAATTTGCCTGCAGTTTAAACTCTTGTCCCTAAAAGTAATGGTTATGACTAACATTATTATATTTAAAAACAATAGCCTATAAAATAATAAAAGCATTGTATGGGAAAATCAAACAGTGAGTTAATAACAAATAGGCCCTAAAAACTAAATAGTTTCATCAACATCAATCTTAAATATAATAGGCCTAATTAAGCTAATATTAATTATTAATAATCTTCTTTAGTCCTTAGTCTGATCTGGTGAAATTAGGACAACAGATGAGGCCTAATTAAATAATTATAATAACTTATTTAAATAAGTTTGGTGCAACTTCTAATGCTTATTTGCTTAGTTTTAACATAACAAAATGAATGTTCAATTTCAATGTTGATTTTATTATGAATTATGAATGTTTTAGTCTACAAAATAATCCTAGCTAGCAGAGTCAGAGGAGAGAGTACGGGAGTAAAATCATTGTTTTAAGTTTATTAAGATCCAATTTTTAGGAATAAGAATCACCTCGTCTTCCGTCATTTTTATGACGTATGTCTATTTAAAAATATAGCAAATTAGGCCTATAGATAGAGGATCTAGATCCTATTTAGTGTAGCTTTAGGTCTAGAAATCTAGAGACTACAGATGTTAAACTTGAATATTAGGGAACTTTTCAACAACAATGAACATGGTTTAGAGCAATTGCCAGATCAAAAGAATAGTTTAATGTCAATATATAGTTATAAAATTATGTTAGAATCAATGGATCATTCGTAGTTTCAATATTCATTTTGTCGTTTGTTTTTTTTACTGTTGATAGTTACCGAAATCCATTAACTTATGGAAGGTAGAAAATATAACTACAATGAAACTTATTTTTGTCACTATAGATACTGGTTTGCCAATGTGGTAGCTATGTTTACAGGAAAAGTGCTAGGTATCGAAACGATTAAATAGACATCGATCCTTAGTGGAGTTAAAATTGTGTCTGCTAGAAGAGGGGACAATCAACCACAACAGCTGATTCATCCATAACCCTAAAATTAAAATTACATTAATTTACATCCCCAAATATATGGAAATTCTAAACCAAGGTATATTTTTAATAAGTACAAATTTGTAAATTTCCCTTTTCGAACCTGACGATCCATGAGGCAAGTGAAGTACAGCTCACCTGTATTGTATCGGTGCTCCAGATATATGAATGGATAGTATGACAGAGAACATTAAACAGTAAAACGAACATCGTCACAAAAGTCAAACCGCCTTTCCCACTGATAGGCCTACATTGAAAAACTTTGCCTTTTCTGATTCTGGATTACTTTTTGAAAAATCGTAATTTTGTCACAAAAAAGCTCATGAATTAATCAAATTCTATAAATGAAATAAAAAGTTAAAAAATGTTGATAGGAGACGTTGGATCAATATTGGTAATGACACGCACCCCTATGTAACATTCACATTATGTACAATTGTTTGTTAAGTCAAGATAGCCTACAGAGTTTCTTCCAGGCATATCTTCGCCCCCCCCCCCCCCCGAAGAAAGTCTACCGCCCCCCCCCCCCTCCACCAGAACGAAATGGAATTTATATAGAAAATATATACTTTTAACAGTGTCCGCCCCCCCCCGGAAATTTGAGTCCGCCCCCCCCCTCCCGAACATTTCAAGTGCACCCCCGGAGAAAAAGTCTGGAAGAAACACTGATGTCCTAGCTTACATAGTGGACTAGCCTGGGCAGAAAGAACAGTTGGTTTATCCTAATTGGTCTGCTGAATTCTCCCCCTTTTCAATTAGATTTTTGAAATGGCAATTAGAATCAGATCTAGTCAACCGTATCCTGTTCACGATGCACCGTCAAAACGGCCCGTAACAAAACAGCCCGACAAAACAATCCCGTCAAAAACGACCCCGAATAATCGGCCTCAGACCAAACGAAGTAATCAAAGTAACCTCGACAAAAAGGCCCGTAATCTGTTTTAAATGCTCAATGAAAAACTTCTTCATGAACCAACAATAATACATTTTTAAAGACATAGTGCTTAAAATAGAGCATAGAAGTTTAAATGTATTATGTTTTTTAATAGAAAAACTACTTTTTATTTTGATGAACATACTGAAGATAAATGTGCCGAGTAGAGCGTGGACATCTCTCCCCACAAAATGAGTTGGAACCGCCCAGAACCGACTAATTTGATGGACTTAATTAGATTCAGTAGATGACACTTGGGCTTGAATTTAAAAACATACTATTTCTTTAATTAGATACAAAATAATGAAAAAAATAAGCCCATATTTGTATTATTTAATGGTGCTGGCTAAGTATAATCTCGAGTATTGATGAAAGGTCTTACTGACAGGGGAGTATTGAATGAAGAACTGTATTGGCAGGGGCCCTTGCGTCTGAAACCCAAATGACAGGAGCCTATTTGTCGAAAATCCTAATGACGGGAACCGTCTTGTGGGGAGCTAAATGACGGAAGACTATTGGTTGGGAGTCGCAATGTAATGGCTTTTAATGGGATTTTTTAAATTTTAATTCCATAACTATTTTAATTATACACTTTATTTTTATAACGTTCAAAACTATAACAATAAAGCAACACGAGCGCACCATCAACAATAGCTGTAACCTGATATGAGATAGGTGACTATAATTCTGGAGGTACATTCAGAGGCGTAGCGGCCCATTCCAGCGCCCGAGCAATTTTTCAGCCTTCTCGCTTTCATATGGACTATTTAGTTTGAAAAGGTTGTTGGAAATTTTTTTAGCAATCATTATCCCGTAATAGATTTTTTGTTGGTGTCACGTAATGGTTATAGAAAAAAAAATTAAGTCAGTGTGTAAAGCCTTGTATCCGTGTATATTTTTTACTTTTACTGCGTATAATTCAAAATTTCAGCTTTATAATTGATTTTCTACCCTTTTGGCGCCCTGTAATGATCGGAACTTGGGGCAGTCGCCCCACCCGCCCTCTCCTAGTTACGCCACTGGGTACATTTAAGGAGGGGGGCTATTAACCACCCAGCAGCCTACGTCACTGATGGACACATGATAAAATCCGTAAAATGGTCCCATAAACTCTAGAAAGATGGAAATATTCGACACTTTTTTTATGGAGCTTGTTATGGGCGATGTTACTCGCTGTAGCTTTAGCTTGGAGAGTCTGCTTCGTTTCCAACTTGCTTGCATACACTGAAATATTATTTATTTTTAAAACTTCTTTGTTAGATCAAACGTTCACATAAAGCTATATAATCATATATGTGAAAAATCAATCTATGGAAACTTAAGATATAGGCTCTCTACATCAGAGGCGTAGCGACCCTTCCCGGCGCCCGGGGACAAACTTTTCGATTTGCACCCCCCCCCCCCTCAAACTTTCGATTTGCACCCCCCCCTCGAGATTTTGATGTGCACACCCCCCCCCCCCCTCAAACTTTCAATTTGCACCCCCCTCAACCTTTCAATTTATTTTTCCAACCCATTTTGGCGCCCCCTAAGCTCGGCGCCCGGGGACATATGTCCCCGCCCCCCCCCCCCCCCCCTCGCTACGCTACTGCTCTACATTTTTAAATACAGACGCCATTGAATCTGAAACTTCAATTACTTCAGGCTTCCAAAAACGTATTCGACGACTTTGTGTCACTGTATCAACTTAATTCATCAGGGAGGGGTTTGACTAAGCTATGACAGAACCTATACGTAACTAAACATTTTCATGACCTATATTTTAAAAATATAGGCCTACCTCTTTAGTTTGGTAAATTTCGACATTGGAGCGTAGAACCTGTGTAAATGAACATTGTAACTGCTTTGGTCAAATAATGTTTACAAAATTTTAAAAGTGCCTGCCTTATCATCATTGATTTTCCTGTGTTGTTTCAAAGACATGAACACCATACAATGTGACATGCTATAATAAAATGTAAAGACTACTTTCTTGCTTCACAGCAGGGTTATTAGCTGGTTCGACGTAAGTTATTACAAATGCAATTCAGATTGTGAAGAATGAATTGTGTTAATACAATAATAGCTGAGGGCCTTTATGATTCAAAAAATTATGATAGCTTCTATTGTGGTAACAGCTTGAATATATACAGCTAGAATTGTAGTTTGTAGGCCAGTGCTTTCCAAACGTTTCCCATTGTGACTGGTATATAAAAACAGATCTACATCATTTTTGGGGTGGTGGTGTTTGATTTACTACATGCGGTGGTGAGGGGGGAAAGGTCGGACGAGATCTGGTTCTTCAACACACAAAAAGGCATTAGTTGTGTGTAATAGTTTCTCTTGTTTTTTTTTTTTTTTTTTTTTTTCAATCGCTCCAAAGTACTTTTATTACACTTATGGCTGCGTTTGAAAATCCTACAGGTTGTTAGTGTTACTCGACCTAATCTCTACACTAAATAGTCCGTATCGATACTTTTTAGCGGACTCCATACAAAATCTCCAGTATAGAAAATAATAAAATATGTGTTGATGCGCCAAATTTTAACTTAATCTTAGGCCTACTATTTATAATACCTAGATCTAGGATCTATATAATATTAAAATTAAAAAAATAAACTAGATCTAGAATTATAATCTATTCTAGATTTCTAGATCTAGAATCTAGATCTAGAGAGATCTAGCTCTAGAAAGCTAGATCTAGTCTACACTACAGGTAATCTATCTTTTTATTTTTTTTTAGGATTTAGAAAATAGAAATCTACTCCGATTTAGTTTGGATTTACTTGATTTAGGTACGTAAAATCGGCCAAGGCTACTCACAGGCTAGATCTAGTAATGTGTGACAAAGTTGCCTCATCGTTATGGCAAATAATGGCAAATATTATTGATAATTGAATAATAAACCAAAATCAATGGATAGATTCTAGATCTATATCAAATATATATACTTTACTAACTATAGTAACTAACTAAGGCCTAAGGTAAATCTCCATTTCAGCGTATTTTATTCTCCGTTGCTTGTTTACCTCCAGTTGAGCGTATTTTATTATAACAACCAAAACACACCAAAACATTAGGAAAACACGATTTATTTTTTGTATTGTATTTTTGTTTTAGCAAATGAATAAAAATGAATATTTAAAAAACACGACTTGTTTATTTGTATTGTACTTTAAAAAAAGGCATTTGTCTCATGGTGAAACTGATACACTGTTAATCATTCTGTTTTATATTTTTGTATTTATGCAATAAATGTACAAACACTGTGTTTTTTAATTTGACAGTTTTGCTAAAACTGAAAAAAATATTTTACTATAGAGTTGTATGTTATTTAAATTCATAGTAAATCTACCATCCTTCCTTTTTTTGTATGAGTAAATTTCTGACTTTAAAAAAAAAATTGATGTGGGGTCGTCCATAAATGACGTCACACTCGTAAGGGAGAGGGGGGTCAGCAATTTTGTGACGGTGTGTGATGAGGGGGAGGGGTGGGGGTTTCAGATGGTGTGACGTCATTTTAGGGGGAGTCTGACTTTTTGTGACGACGTGTAACGGAGGGGAGGGGGGGGGTAAAACTCGTAAAAAAAAAGCGTGTCGTCACAAAAAGCAAGACCCCCCCCCCCCTACGAGTGTGACGTTATTTATGGACGACCTCTAACATTATTATTTTTTAAATGACAACGTGAGTTGACACACTTTCTCTAACACTCCAAGCAATCCCTCACCAAATTCCACCCCCCCCCCCCCCTCGGCCCACTTTCGGCAGCATCATTGTGCCTTTTAATACTTTTATTCAGTTTAGTTGAAATTGGAACACTTAATTGTACAAAGTGTGCATCTCTATTTTTGTAACCAACAAACAAATCACTTCAGTCAGTCTCTTTGTTGTTTTTTATTCATTTATTAAAACAAAAATACAATACAAATAAATAAGTCGTGTTTTTTAAACATTCATTTTATTCATTTGTGAAAACAGAAATACAATACAAAAAATAAATCGTGTTTTCCTAATGTTTTGTTGTGTTTCGGTTGTTATAATAAAATACGCTCAACTGGAGGTAAACAAGCAACGGAGAATAAAATACGCTGAAATGGAGTTTTACCCTAACTAAACTATAGGCCAGAAATTAACTTTAAAGTTTAAACAGCAGTGTTTGCGAGCAAGATTTGGGTAATCTATCGTTTTGGGTACGTAAAATCGCCCGCGATTTGTAATGTGAAAAACAGGTGACTCCTTAAATTTTAATAATTATTTCACATTTTGAGGAAGATTTATGTTTAAAAAAATTCAAAAATGTTTCCTTGATTCATTTATGTACCTGTTTTTAAACAATTGAATTAAAACTTTTCCGTAATAAATGAAGACTAGCGATGTTTCCAACAGATGCAACCACGCTCATTTACTATAGCAGCCATCTTGTCTAAGTTTTATTTTTATAAGCTTTTAGCGCCAGATTCAGGGGGAAGCCACTCTATTTTACAAATGGCTGCTGTTTATATAGCAAATCTTGCTCTCAGACACTTGAGACACTGCTGTTTAAAGTTAATTTCTGGCCTATATCGATATATTTAGCCATTGATTTAGGTTTATTATTCATTTATCTATAATATTTGACACAAACATATCACAATATACCTCTATTAAAGCCTTGACAATGAGGTAACGTTTTCATACATAAATAGCCGCGGGCGATTTTACGTACCCAAAACGATAGATTACCAAGATTTGCTATACTTACTTAACTTACTTAATCCTCATCACTCCCTGTGGAGTATAGGGCAACAACAAATCTCCGCCATTCCACCCTGTCCTGGGCGAGCCACTTTAGTTCATGCCAGGTTTTGCCAGTAGCCTGTACTTCTTCTTCCATCTCCCTCCTCCATGTTCCCAGTGGTCTTCCTCTACTTCTCTTTCCGGGTGGGTTCCACTTCAGCGCCATGTTGGGGAGTCTTTTTTTGCTCATGCGTAGGACATGGCCCAGCCATCTCCATCTCCTCGTTCTAACTTCTGAGACAATGTCGTTTAATCCTGTCCTTCGCCATATTTCCTTGTTCGGGACTTTGTCGTCCCACTTTATCCTGAGGATGCGTTGGAGGGATCTTCTTTCAAAGCCTCTGAGTCGGCTGTCTACTTTCTTGTTTAGTTTCCATGACTCTGCAGCATAGAGGAGTACAGAACGTACATTAGACTTATAGATCCTTATTTTAGTTCTCTGCTGCAGTGAGGATGATTTCCAGATCTTAGCGAGTCTGTTAAAAGCTTGTGCTGCCATTGCTATTCTGGTGGCAATTTCTTTCTCCATGCTGCCATTTGCTGATATATAGCTGCCGAGGTACTTAAAGTCTTCTACCTCTTCTAGCTCTGCTCCATTCGCAAAGGTCTTGAGAGCACTTTTGGTTTTTATTTTCATTAGCTTGGTTTTTCCGGAGTTTATCTTTAGCCCAACGCTTTTGGCAATTTGCTCTATTCTTGTGGTTTTCGCTTGGATGTCTTTTTGGGCATGTGAAAGTAAAGCCAAGTCATCAGCAAAGTCACAGTCCTCTAGGTGGTTGGTAAGTTCCCAAACAATTCCTCTTGGCTTATCCTCAGTGGCTCTTCTCATAATCCAGTCTATTACCACCAAAAAGATGACAGGTGAGATGACACAGCCCTGTCTGACTCCTGTTTTTACCTTGAACCATTCACTTTGCTGATTTTCGTGTCGCACACAGCATTGGTTATCATAGTACATGTCCTTAAGTATGTTTATGACTTTTCCTGGAAAGCCATATAGCTCTAGTATCTTCCATAATGATGGATGGTGGATGCTATCAAATGCTTTCTCGAAATCTATGTAGTTGATGTAGAGAGACGAATTCCACTCCAGGGACTGTTCCACTATAGTGCGCAAGACAAATATTTGGTCGTTACATGACCTGTTGGCCCTGAAGCCAGCTTGTTCTTCACGAAGGATCCCATCAATTCCTTTCCTCATTCTTTGTAATAGGACTCTGCAGAAGACTTTCCCTGGTACTGACAGAAGATTAATGCCTCTCGAGTTCTCACAAGAATCTGGGACTTTTTCTTCATTCCATACTTTGTTGAAGATCCCTAATAGAGTTTCTGCACCTATTTTTGGGTCTGCCTTTAGCATCTCCGCAGTGATTCTGTCCTCTCCTGGAGCCCTATTGCTTTTTGTTTTTTGGATAGCTTCTATTATTTCTTGTTCTAGGATGGGTCCTCTATACATTTCAAAATGTATGTTCATGTCAGTGAAGTCAGCAGTTTCTTCTGGGTCTGGTCTGTTTAGGGTCTCTTCGAAGTATTCAGCCCATCTTTTCAATTGATGTTTCTCCGTTGTAAGAACTTTCCCGTTTTTGTCCTTGATAGTAGATGATCTATTTGCTATTCCTCCTGTTAGAGTCCTGATAATCTTGTAGACTGTTCTGCTATCTCCCTTATCAGCTGCAGCCTGTGCTTCTGTGGCCATTGTGTCTACATAGTTCCTTTTATCCTTCCTAGCATTCCTTTTTACCTCTTTTTGCAGTCTTCTATATTCTACATCGTTCCGTACCCTGCTTTCCATGGTTCCAGATAGTGTTTTGATTTTGGCTTCTCTTCTCTTTTCAATGAGATTCCAAGTATCGTTTGAGATCCATTCCTTCCTTTGTTTGTTCCTGTGTCCTAGTATGCATTGGCTTGTTTTCGTGTATACATCCAGGATCTTCTCGCATTGAGTATTGGTGTCCTCTTCTGGTAGGTTCTCGAGTAGACTAAATCTATTTTTTAGTTCAATTGCGAAGTTTGCCTTAATGGTGGGATCTTTTAGTTTAGCTGAGTCAAGATTTGCTATAGGCCTATATAAAAAAAATATATTAATTAGTATAATTAGGCCTATATATAATTAAATTATAATACTAGGCCCTAGCCTAGCCTATAGGCCTGTAATATTATAATAGTAGGCCTATATTATTATATTAGTATATAGTATATAAACAGCAGCTATTTGTAACATAGAATGGCTTCCCCTGAATCTCCAGCTATAAGTTTACAAATGAAAACTTAAAGAAGATGGCTGCTAAAGTCAATGAGCTTTGTTGCATCTGATGAAAACATTGATAGTCTTTATTTTTTACTGAAAAGTTTTAATACAATTGTTTAAAAACAGGTAGACTACATGAATGAAACTTTGAAACATTTTTTTAACTTTCAAAACATACATCTTACTTCCTAAAAATGTGAAATATTTACTAAAATTTAATGAGGCACCTTCTTTTCACATTACTAGCCTAGGCCGATTTTACGTACACAAAACGATAGATTACCGATCTACATACTACTAGGTCTAGATCTACTAGTACTGTCTACTTTACTACTAACTGGCCTTTAGCTACATACACATCATAGCTAGATCTGGATTTAAATTTAATTTATAATATATTATGTTATTACTCATCAAAATTGTTATAAATTAAGCATATATAGATTAGGCCTATACCATTTATGTAAATATTTTTTTACTGCTGTAATATAATGTGTAATTTCATTCCTCCAAGACTAGGTTTGGGGTTGATGTAATCAATTGTAGTGTAATCTGTAAACATATTACTTGGAACTGGTGATAATTAGCTCTACCAATACATAGGCCCTAGATATTAATGTTTCACACTCATAACTCTCTATTTATTTTGTTAGAAAAAGATGGAAAAGGAAGTATTGGAACTCATTAGATTAAAAAAGTTTGATGATATAAAAACTTTGCTGAATCTCAAAGAAACTGAAGAGGTAAGTATTTAATAGTATTTATCGAACAATGTTACATACTAACTAAAATACTATTAGTCTAAATTTCAACCAAAAGGGTTTTAAGTTTTAATCCTTTTGATATACTAGGTCTTCAGATCATGAACGTCATGAGTTCCTGGCTGAAGTTAATGGAAATTTAAGATGTCAGTCACTAAACTAGCATGCGGTAGGGCCTACCCTACAATATTGCAAATCTTTAGAAACTGATGAAATCTATGTCATAATATGATGCGTAAATAAGACATGTAATGAAAATATCCTATTATTATGTGAACAAATTATTTTTAAATGTAAATTTTTCTTAACAGGTTTGTGAATGTGTTTCTAACTACATTCTGAAAGGGAGACCTGATCCTATAAACTTTATTAAGTACATAATTAATGGTGAGAAGCAAATTAATACAACATAGTCTATAGCACGGGTTCCCAACCTGGGGGTCGCGACCCCCTTGGGGGTCGCGAAGGTCTTTCTGGGGGGTCGCCAACTGGTATACTAAACCTTAGTAATTTGAAACAAAACATAAATATTTAGAAGAATTTTTGAAATTCGGCTTCATTAACATGACTGGAAATGTAATAGAGAAGAAACAAAGCACACTGTACAAAGTTGTTCTCAGTCACACATCTATGAAATCTTCAAAACTAAAACGTCATTTGAGACGAGTCATTTGGAACACACAAAAAATATATGGAGTTCTTTCGTCGGTAAGAACAGTGTTTCTTCCAGACTTTTTTCTCCGGGGGGGCACTTGAAATTTTCGTCGGGTTGGTAGACTTTCTTCGGGGTGGGGGGGGGGGGGGGGGGGCGGACACTGTTAAAAGTATAGATTTTCTATATAAATTATATAAATTTCATTTCGTTCGGGCGGGGGGCGATAAAAAATTTTCGGGGGTAAGCCCCCCCCCCCCCCCCCCCGAAGAGATGCCTGGAAAAAACTCTGGGTAAGAAGCAAGTTGTAAACGCCAGAGACTTGATCGAACAGGAAGTTTTCACCAGCATTAGTGCAAGCATCAAACGAAATCGCGATAGAAAATGCCAAGCAAAAAAAAAAAAAAAAAAAAAAACAATAGGAGAAAATCTCATCAAACACTGCATGTACGTAAATGTTAAATAACACATTTTTATTGAAATTAAGCTTTGACCATTGTTTGCTTTTCAAGTTGATAAATCAACAGACGTGAGTTCGTGTTGGCAGTTGTTGGTCTGTGTCTATATTCATGCGGATGATAGCAAAGAAGATTTGCTATTTTGTGGAGATAGCATCGAGAAAATAAATACGTTTTTTTTTTTTTAAACGGGAGGATTAAAATGGGTTAGAACGGCTTTGGGGTTGTACAAATGGTGCGCCATCTATGTTTAGCTCAAAATCGGGCTTTCAGAAAACAGAAAAGATTTAGCTCCCTAACCACTGCACTAACCAATCGACATGAAGAGTCCATTGCTAGTATAGGTCGTAAATTATATAAAATCTGGAGCCTTCAAAGAACTGAGCAAAAACATTAATATAGATCACGAGGTTCTGCTCTTCTACACTACAGTACGGTGGCTGCAAACGAAATGTTGTAAATTGTGTTTTTGAATTGAAATCTGAAATCAAATTGTTCTTGGGAAAGCAAAGGAAACAAGACTTTTTGGTATACTTAAAACGACATAGAGTGGTTGGAGAGAGTATCATACCTAGCAGATGTGTTCGAACATCACGATAAGCTTAACCTGAAGATTCAGGGAAAATGAACGAATATTATAACTTTCCATGATAATCTCGGGGCATTTTTATCAAAGCTGCAAAATCAGTAAAGAAAATAAATCTTGGAAATATTGTAAATTTGAGAAACTCTGCAGTGTGGTAGATGAATCTGATTGTGAGATAATTAAAAATTTGAAAGAAGTGATTTCTGGGCATCTTGAATCTCTTGAAAACGAACTGCATCGCTATTTCTCTGAGCTGAAAAAAAGAAGAATCTGCATTTACGCATTACCCATTCTCTTCTTCCCTTGATGTTGCCAGCATTCCCGATGAATTACAAGATGAATTCTTTGATTTGCAGAATGATTCCGAGTAAGATGAAAAACTGCAGACACAATTTTGGTGTAGTATTCACCATTCATACCCAAACGTAAAATTGATTGACTTTTCGAGAATATATTTTCAACACTATTCTTCGATTAAAAAACAAAATTAAGATAATTATAATGACATAAGTTGGCGCTAACAAAATTTTTTTTAAAAACTTAACCTCGAAGGTTTAGTGAATAGTATGCAATTTTACTCATGCTATTAAAACAGTTATCAAGTGTAGTTAATATTGAAAGTTTACTAGAAAATCTTATTTTAGTGCTTATTACTTTCCATACTAATTTCGGCTCTTTAATTCTATGGGGGTCGCGGGTCACTTACTTTTTATAAAAGGGGGTCGCCACTCGAAAAAGGTTGGGAACCACTGGTCTATAGGATCAAGTAATTTAACACCATGAGGCAATGAAAATTAAATTATGCTTTTACTATGAAATTTTAACTAAAGGCTTCAAAATTTTCTTGAAATTGATTGTGTAACTAATTTGTTCAATAACATATAGGTTCACTGGAAGCCACAGAAAAAAGTCTACAGCGATGTACTAATGTCATTATTAGTATAATTAAAGTACTTCAGAAAAATGAGATTAATTCAAAAACAGCTTTTGGAATTACTAGTCTATTATTGACTGAGGTACCACTGTATCAAATGTTTTTCTTTAATTTAACTGTCAAGTGTTTCATACTAACTCTAACTTGTGTATATCTGATAACCAATGTTACAGTTTGTGACTTTAGTTTACTTTAATCATGCAGGGTAAGTTAACTTTTTAACAGTTTGGATTTGAATTATGATTTATGTTTTTTTTTTTTAATGTTGCCCTAAATGGGTGCTTTATCTTTCATAGCAATGTAGACATAAATCTAACAGTGTTTTTAGAGGATATAACTGTTGTCTAATTATAGTTTACAACAAGCCTTAATTACTTGATGTTTAATTAAAAAGTATATTATGATCTTGTTTTTCTCCTCACATTAAGTTAGATTTACTGAAACCAAAATGCTTGGCTGACTTAGCACAGTTCTACATAGATTCAATAAAAAATGGATCTTTTAATGGTGGCAAGTAAGTTAGTATAACCAAGGGTAGTATTTGATACATTTATTTTGAACAAATTCATGACATTTGTTGTATATGTATGTGTGTGTGTATATATATATATATATATATATATATATATATATATATATATATATATATATATATATTTAGTGATTTCATCATTACCATATACATTCAAAAACATTTTTTTATTGAACCATTTACATCACACACAAAAAAGCGTTTCTTTGTTATTTTAAGACAGATGTATACAGTTTACCATAAATGCTGTCAAATATATCATTTGTAGGTCAGCTGAACTTCTACCAAAGATCCTGGTTTTGATTAGTTCATGTGATTCTGTGCCTAAAGGAGAAGGGGATATGAAAGGCTCAGAATTCAAAGGTCATGTAATAAACAGTATTTGCTCTTGCAGGTGTATATACTCTTCTTTTAAAATAAAAGTAACCAGTTTGCTCTAATATTTTTCAATTACTTAAGAAATATTTGTTGCTTAACAGCAGAAAGCACCAGATAATTATTGGCAGCAACACCAACTGCAGTTGTTTCTCATCTTATATGAATTCTAATGAAACATTTATAAATCATGAAAAAAAAAGTTAACAAAGTAGTACCCTAACTAGCTTAGGTTTTGTTAATCTTACAATCCTATCATATGTTTAATGATAGAAGCTGAAACAAAATTGTGGTTTTAAAAAAATTCATAAAAAACGTTTTAATAACAAGCTTTTATGTAATGATGCACTAAAAAGTAGAAAATAAATTATAGACTACTATTTAAATAACTATAAAGAAAAGCGTGGGTCACTTTAGTATCTATTGGATACCTTTACTAATGTTAAGGAAGACACCCACGCTTTTCTTTATAGTTATTTAAATAGTAGTCTATAATTTATTTTCTACTTTTTAGTGCATCATTACATAAAAGCTTGTTATTAAAACGTTTTTTTATGAATTTTTTTTTCAGTACTTTACATGTTTTATTTACAATAGAGTTACATGACTAAAAACCATTGCGCGCCTACTGAACATCACGTTCAGTAGGCGCGCAATGGTTTTTGAACGTGATGGCGCAGCTATTGAAGGTGATGACGCGTGTGGTGTGGTTGGCTAGACATGCCTACTAATTCGGTCCAAATTTTTATTAATTCATAAAAAATTAATTAGGCATCCAATTAAGTCAAATTTAGATTCAGATTGCATTGTCTTCATGTCTTGACCCACGTGCCAAATGTGAATCGTATCGGTCAAGTAGAAGTTTCCGAATTTTCACTCCTGCGTTTCCGTCTAGACAGACTGACGACTGACGACAGAGGAAGTGAGTTAAATAAAAGCTTGTAAAAAATGTCACATTTTTTTCATGGATGATAAACAATTAACACTTTTTTAAAACTTTATTTTAGATGGGCACCGTCTGTGATTGTCCACATGGCAACTTTTTTTCATGAGATCCCGCTTACACTAGAGGAATTGAAATTTGTTATTGAAAAGATTGTAAGAATGTTTGCTGAATTAGAACTATCTGATCAACCAGCAGTAGTATTTCAGCTTCTGCTGCTTTCTGCAAAGGTTTGTTTTAATTTTTAAATTAAGTTTCATGTATGAAAATGTATATTTTATAAAATAAAGATTTAAAATAGGGTTGTTAAATTAGTATTCTTTAGTAGGAGTTTATCATTTATGGTTTTCATACTGTTTATTAGTAAATTACTTTCCGATTTTTTAAAATAAAACTTGTCATCACAATGTTCAATGTATTTCACCATAAATGTTTTAAAATCCGCAGCTATAATAATTAATTTGACAAGATCTTTAAAAAAAGGAAAGCTTACCATTGCTGTTAATGATTGTATTCTTTAGGGTCACAAGAAATTAGTACTTGAAGGGATCTGTAAACACTACACTTTATTGGATGATGTGAACAGAGGTCAAAGCATAATGGTTGACAGGCAAATAATTTTTTTTTCAGAGTTTAAAAATTGTTTGTTTTTCTGAAATAATGCTTGACAAGCAAATTCTTTTATTACAGATTTTTTTAAAAGTTTGTTTTTATAAGATCAGTGTCTGGTTGTTTTAAATAACTGAAGTTTTGCATGATTATCGCTTTGTTTCAAAATGCAATTTATTTTTAAGGTCAATGACCATAATGACAGTTTTCTTTTTAATGCAGTGAAGACCTGATATCAGAAAGAACATGTTTAAAAACTCTACGCCAGATTGAAGGCACTGTTATCTTACATATTACAACTGCTATTATGCAAGACCAGGAACTTGGTACAGAATTGATCAAATATCTTAAGGTATGTACTACAAATATTTATACTTATAATGGGTTTTGTTACATAGCTTAATTTATAAGGTATTACTCATGTAATAAATATTTTTTTGACAGATTCTTCAACAATCCAAAGCAACTAAAGTTATTTCCCCTTTCAATTTGTCACTTTTATTGTCTATTTCTCAACTACATCATTTTGAAGATCAGGTAAGAATTAGTCTCTAAAATTCAATTTTTTTTTTAAAATTGTAAATTGCTTTATTGCAGATGGAAGTAACATGTTAAATATTAAATGCTGTATCGATGCTAAGCTTTTATTTTTCACCTAGTCCATTTCAATTTTTTTAGGTCTTTGACTTTGTCAAAAGTACTATACTGAAATGCTTCCGAGATGATGAAAGGCAACATCAGTCCTTGTGGGTTAGAGAATGTTATCCAGTTGGTGTTAAAACAGAAGATTTGGTGTTAGAGGCAGTGGATCATAGGTCTGGTCATGTTCATTTGTCATTTTTTCCTATTTATAAAAAAAATATCAAGTAACTTTACATAACCATTATTGCATATCAAACATTAAGTAGTTTCAACTATTGTTAATCCTGTACTAAAGGATGGTGTTATGCATCATCTTTTCTTATTAGTGCCCAATACACTTGGGGCAGATGGAGTAGAGTTCATGTTTAAATGGCCTTTGCATTCTAAACACATTCTAGACACATTGAGGTCATACTGACTGGTGTCCAGGATCCGAACTCAAGATTTTTTAGTTAGTGGTCATACTCTTTACCATTTGACCATTCCATACTTTAAATGTTATGCATAGTGTCTAGATACTGTTATCTAACCGTAATCTAAAATTATACTTTGGAACTTACTTTAGAGCAGGTTTGATTCTGTATTTTGCCTACCACAATGATACAATTTTAAAACATGAATATTATTTCTTATAATTGTATAAGCAGCTATGAGTTGGAACTTGTAACACTGGGGCTAGTGAAACTTGGGTTTGGGCTGATGGACAGCTTTGGGCCAAAGTTGGTGTTTGGAGCAATCCCAGAGGCTGTGATGAATGAAGGGCATAAAACTCCAGTACAACAGGCTTGTCAGCTAGCACAGAAGTTGCTTTTAAAAACATTCAAAGTAAGACACACTTTAGATCTCTTTTTTGATAAAATTACAATAAAGTGCTAAATTAAAATATTTTCTTTTCAAATTTTGTTGGCAATTTTCCTTACAGGCTCATGAAGTGGTTAGAAGTGAAATATTGGATCAGATATTCAATTTTATTATGAAATCTACATCCCCAGTTACCCATTATCTTGGTAAGTTTACTTTCAAAAATATTTTAACAGTCTTAACATTCAAATTATATTTCTTTGCTTGTCTCTCCCTAGGAAATATATTATTACTCATGTATGGTAAAACATCCAACAAGTAAACATACATATCCTTTTTATAACAGAACATCCAACAAGTAAACTTACATATCCTTTTTATAACAGAACATCCAACAAGTAAACATACATATCCTTTTTATAACAGAACATCTAACAAGTAAACATACATATCCTTTTTATAACAGAACATCCAACAAGTAAACATACATATCCTTTTTATAACAGAACATCCAACAAGTAAACATACATATCCTTTTTATAACAGAACATCCAACAAGTAAACTTACATATCCTTTTTATAACAGAACATCCAACAAGTAAACATACATATCCTTTTTATAACAGAACATCTAACAAGTAAACATACATATCCTTTTTATAACAGAACATCCAACAAGTAAACATACATATCCTTTTTATAACAGAACATCCAACAAGTAAACATACATATCCTTTTTATAACAGAACATCCAACAAGTAAACAGATCCATCCTTTATTTTAAATATAACCAAATGCTAACAATTGAATGGCTGTTATCACTTGGGTGTTACAGAGTTGCTTGCTGATACTGTTTACTCTGCTCCACAACTTTTACTGGAGTCCACTGGCAAAGTTCAAGAACTGTTTGTTAAACTGGTTGAGCTACCACTTAAGACAGCTGAAGGTTTACTCAATGCTCTACAACCACTCTTAAAACTTAGCCCGTTATTGAAAGACACTTTGATATTGGTGCTTAGAAAAGCTTTGTTTTCAAGGTAAACACACATTTGTATTTAAAAAATTTCTAATAACGTATTGTGAGCTTACACTAGACTTCATATTTGCCGTTTTTCTAAATCAAAACTTTTATTTTCTACATAATCTTTTTAAATATATAGTTAAAAGTTGATAAGCTGTTGTTATAAAGATCTAAAAGTATAAACCTATTTTTATAGGCAGCTTGAATCACGCAAAATAGGAGCTATTGGGTTCCTGTTGATTCTAAAAAGTTTCCGTGTAGTAGGAGGACTTCCTTCAAGTCAAGCAAGCCAACCCATTTCTCTCAGCCAGGTAAATGTTTCTTCCTCATTAAATAAATGAAAATTTAGGCTTATTAATCAATTAAACAGTTTTTCTTGAAAATTAATTTAATAGGTTTTTTTTTTTATTATTTTTTTTTTTTATTTTCAAAATTGCAATCCCCTAGAAAAGTTTTTTTTTTATTAATGTAGCTTCAAGTAGATGTGCATTCTGGGTACAATGCTGGAAGCAATGAGGCCTTATGCTTGGAAATACTTGGCAATTTGAGAAGATGTTTTATCCAACAGGCAGATATTCGCACAAGTATCTATATGGTAAATGTATTTGAAGAATAAAGAATTCATTGCCTTAAAAATATTAAATATGGTCTTTAACCAAATAATTATTGCATAAAATTTAATAAGCATGGCAAGTGTGTTTTACAAATCTTATACATTTGCACTATGATTTTTTTTTCAGGCTAATTGACATTTGCAAGCTGTGTATCTATGATATACTGTTCTTAATTAGATTTATTCTGACATTATCTTCTTGGATAAATCAACCAATTTAGCATGTTCTCAATCCTATTACTTTGTTTGCAGGGACTTTATCAAGTTCTTCAAAACAATTCCAAGCTACTGACTCCAGTTCTTGATATGCTTATGGCACAGGTATCAAGCTACTCAATATTATAGTGTCCTAACTAAACCTTGTTGCTTGCACATTTTTTTTCCTAATTGTCTTATTAAATGTATACTTTTTTAAATTTGATGATTCTAAGTTTTCAAATTTGTATTAACAAATGTTTATTTTTTACAATGTGCCTAAAGTAGTTATTTAAATTTCTAGCTTAAAAAATATTATGAGGCTAATGAAGAAGTGTGCCCTCCTTTGAGATTTGAACCTTGTATTTTAACACAAGGTGAACAAGTTTATTTGGCAGAACCCTTGGTAAGCATTTTACTACTAAGTTAAGAAATTTTATTATTTAATACATTTCTCTTTGTATTCTGTATAATACTCTTACAATATAAAGGATTGCTTATAAACTCTAAATTGTATACATCTTACTAGGCACATCTCATCAGCTGTATACAACATTGCCTGCACATAGCAAGGGAGATCATTTCAAAGAACAATAACTTACAAGATGATGATGAAGATGAAGCAAATGAAGAAGTAAAATCAGTTGAACTGCTGGAAACAGTGTTGGAAAATATTACCAGCAGAATGATCACTGCTGAAATGGAAGATTTTGAACTTGTAAGCGCTTTAACAAAACTGCCTTTTATCATTAGATAAATACATTTTTAATTGTAATATTATATTACAAATAAACAAATTATAATTGATGTTTTGTCAAGCACTCATAACAAAAACTATAAAGTTAAACATTTCAGTTTACATTCTTTAATTAACCAAATAAGTATTGTTTAAGAAATATTACTAGTAACACTAGAAATGTTTTTTTTTATTCTTGTGTATTGTGTAGGACAAAAGTGCAGACTTCAGCACAACAAATGGTGTTGGTGTCAGGAATAACATCCATGCTATACTTCTTGTGGGCTTGTATGAGGTGCTCATGGAGAATTCATTTCTCACTGGAAAATATAGGTCTGTTTAAAAATTAGTAATTTTTATCAATTAAAATAAAATTTGGTCTTTTTAAATTTTAAAAATTTTATTTATATAATCTATGATGGAATGTCTTTAAATCTTTTTTTTTTTACACTAATTCTATGTTCTTCTCTTCATAGTGAAAGAATAAGCTTAAAACTTATGATTAGATAATAATACAGTAACATGTTTATTTCTAGAATTAAATGTTAAGTTTAAATATAAGTTGAGAAATATGAAATAATAATAACATAACTAAAAAAAGGGTTACTTATTTATGAATCTTTTATTTAGTGAAGATAGCTGTAAACAAGTACTGCAACTCTTTGCCAAACATGAAAAAGTTATTACTGTGGTAAGGGAGTCTACAGCAGGCAAAAAAGGGAAGGTTGCCCAGACTAAAACACCAAACAGTCTTATATCATTGAGTTGTGTGGTCAGTTTTCTGCAAGCCATTATCATGTATGATGTTTTTTCATTTGTATAAATTAAGAAGTTAAATAATTTTAAGATTACATTTTATAATTACTGATTAACAAGCTACTGTGGTAAATAAATAAATGTCTAAAAATCTCCATAGTGATAACAGTCCTGAGCATGAAAGTGGCATCAAAATTCTGAGAGAGGACAAGGATTTTCTCCCATATCTCATATGTATTGCCACACAAAAACTGAACCAAATGTCCAGCAAAGGAACTTGTGATGGTGAAATAAAGAACAAAGAGAAACTGTTCAAAGCATTCTTTATGCTTGGAAGGTAGGTTTCATATCTGACATGCATTAAAGTCTTGTTTTCATTTGATACCGAAGTATTGGCATTATTTTCTCCTTGAAACCAGAATCTAGAATTGTATAATGTGAGAAAATACTTTGTAAGAACAGGTATTTAAAATATTTGACTGCTGTTTTAGAATAATGGTGCTTCATTCTTTGAACAAATTCATTATTTGAATTATTTTATTTAGAAAAAAACAAATTAAGTTCTAGAAGAATGAAGTGCTACTGTGAACAAATGTGTAACATTGTGTTTTTTCTCTCCTCTAGATTGTTTCATCTTTACTACGTTGAACATGAGGCTTCCAAAGCTAATATTGACCAACGGGACAGGAAGTTAATTAGCCAGTGTTTAGAAGGCCTAGATTTAGTTGTGGGAATAGCTTGTAAAAATGGATTGCCATCTGTGCTTCACTGTCTTGGCTTCTTAGGTAATTTAGGATTTTAGTGACACATATAAGTCTTACTAATAAATATTTTCGGATTTATATACTTTAATTACACTTTAATTCATAGAAGTTAAGCATAAATATGTCAAAATGCAAAACAAAATGTCAATGGATATTTTTCTTTTTTAAAATTGTTTCCTACAGAAAAGGAGCCAGTGGATGAAAAGAGACATTTAAAAGAAAGTGACAAAGATGAAAAAATTCACCAGCACATCAAAAGATTCCAGGTAAAGAAACTGTTTCTGTAATAAAAATTTTTGGAAAATGTTCATAATTAACTCACAGAAAACTTTCAGAACAAACATTTGAGGGTGGTTCCAAGATGTACGAATTAATGCTGTAATATAATAGTTTCCATAACCAAGCAAATAGATTTGTTCAAAAGATACCACTGCAATGTATCTACAGCGCTTGGTCTCAACAATCTTGAGTGAAGACAAAGAGAATCAGAACCTGAAGGAAATGACCAGCCTTATCTCAGTGATTGCTAATTTGGCTTCTTATTTGTCTGACCATGGAGAAGAATACCAACAAGTGCACACATGGGTTTTAAAAGTTGCCACAGAACAAACCATTGGTAAATCATACAGTTCAAGATACTTGGCAAATCATAAAACACTTTTAAATTTTGTTAGATTGTTCTAGACATTTCCAATTAAAATATATTTATCGGGATAGTTATGTTTTATAGATTTATCAAAGACAATGTAATCATTAGAGTTGATTTAGAATAAACTCTCCTTGTTTATATTTATCAACCTTAAAACACTAGTCAGCATTTTTAGTACAAAATGTACACAAATTATCAATAGCATAAGATCAAGGGGGAAGTGATATGTTGGTCAATATACAAGTGGTTTGGTTAAAGTAGTTACAGGGACAACTCTTAGACTTGTGTATAAAGAATCAAGAATGTATACTCTGACTTCGTTACTTACACAAGTAGAATTTGGAGTTGTTCTTCATAGTTTTTAACATCCACAACTCTGCTTTCAACTAAAAACTTTTTTATTAGTAGCAAATAGTCAATAAAGATAGCCCATGCATATGTTAATGTAGTTCATTTTCCTGATTGCAGATGATGCAGCGACTTGTAGACAACTTTTGTCTGTTCTCTTTACCCTTGCTAAAAAGACAAAATCATTTCCTCAAATTCTACGCAATGTTTGTCAAGATATTCACAGTCAGCTCGGAGACATAGAGCAGGTAAACAATTCAGATAAAAATGTATGCTTTTGGGCAGAGCAGTGCAAATATAAATCTATGCCATCAGTAAGAAAAGTGCAGATATAAATCTATTCTATCAGATAGAAAGGTTAAGGTATAAACTAATACCATGCTATTAGAGAGAAAAATACAGACAAAAATTTATGCCAAAAGAACAGAAATGACTTGGGAATTTAATTTATCAATATTGTTAAAAATATTTTTGTATGTTTAAATTGTATGTTTAAAATAAGAAATGACATTTGACCAGGACACTGAAATAGAAGACACGACAAACTACACCATAACAAGAGCAGCCCATTGCCCAACAGCTGGAATCTTGAGCCAGGTTTTAACATATCTAGAGAGTGAGCTGGATGATGTTGATTGGGTGATCAAGTGTCACAAGGCTGAAGTCGTGGCTGGAGCTAATAGAAAAGATCAAGGTAGATGTAACAAGCTTACACAATTATCACTTTTGACTATTTTCTGTAACATCAAAAATTAACTAAAAGTTAATTAATATTTCTTTTGTATTTTCAGCCTAGTGTTATATGACCTACGAGTAGGATGTTTTATTTATATAATAAGTTGCTAGAAAGCAAGAAAATAGGATAGATGTGCAATAATACTTTAAATTTCAAATATTTAAGTTTTTATAAATAGGCCTACTTATGCGTGAGAATGTTTATCTTTTGTTAAAGGTCTAAATAGTTGCACAAGCTGAACATCTGTATTTATCAGGGGAGATAACAGGGCTGGTTATAAAATACTGTTCAAAGTTTTGTCATGAGTATTGTCTCAGACTATACTTTTTGTGTAGCAATTATTATTGATGCCAGCTTATATGGTTTATTAACCTTAAACAGTTTTGTTTTTCAGAAGAATCAATGGACCGACCAATCTGCACCAGACTGGGAATGCTAGTTACAAGTTTTATAGAGCTGACACATTCAGCTGTACGCACAAAACCTTGTTCACATGGGCTATTGAAGGCTGTGACTAAGCTTTACAACACTCTCACCTTACTGACTAAACATGTAGGTATTTGACTTTTTTTCTTGATTCCAACTATGTATTTATTGAAATTCAAAAACGTTTGATTTAAAAAAATGTATGTTTGCAGTATATAACAATGTACACATCCCAAGTTGGTCAGCTGGGCAGCAGATTTGAGAAACTTGTAACATTAGTTGGGAAACAACTAACTCCACCAACCTATAGCATGATCATCTACATTCAGGTTTGTTAATTTACTTGTAATAACTTGTATGCTCATTATTTATGTTTACTATAATGGCTGGTATTTAAGTTTCTTTGAAGGTTTCGTAATAAATATATATGATGATGCTATTGTCTTTTGCGCTATAGATTACATTATGTATTTAACTTTGTAGATGTCAGACACGGAGACAACAACTGAAAATGATAAAAAAGAGAAAGGCAAGAAGAAAGCTTCCAGTTCTGCCCAAAATGGAATGGTATTTATACACTACTCTTAGTAATGCTGAGATGTTTTGGGCTGGATATTTTATTAAAGACTGAAGTCTGGCAGTTTTTCTTTATTGGAATAGTTCAAAATATGCAGTATGTAGTCTGGAAAAGGTCTGGAATTTAGAAAAGTTAAAATTAAAACAAGAAACTTGTCAATAGTTTTGTACGCTAGTAGTAACAAATGCTATGTATGTAAATTGCATATTCTCCACTTCACATTTTGTCGTCTCATGCAACATTGTGCTGTCGTGGTATAATGATGCACCTTGACTTTGTGTAGCTGATTGTGTAAAGATTTAACACAAATGATTTGTTAAATCTTGTTTTTTTTTAGATGGGGGCTGCTCACAATTTCCTAAATAATTTTACGATTTTCACATACATTTTATGGTGTAACATTAGTTACGCAATGATGGTTTGTCTTGCATTGAAAAATTAATTTATAAGACAAAAAACCTGAGCTTTCAAACATATAACTTATTTTTCAAAGCTTGATCAGATGTTAAAGGCACTGACTAAAAATTAATTTTTAGGGAAGGACAGTGGTCTTTACATAGAGGGAAGTTGAGATTTTGTGATGCTGTGTAACAAGGGTGAAAGGGTCAAGAAATGTGACAGTTCTTTATCTTGTGATTGTATTTTTAAAAATGGAAATGATTAAAAAACCTTTTAATTTTTTAGTTGAAAAGGGAAATTGTTTTGGGTCAAACTTTGTCATCATTTTGGTATTTTAAAAAAATCAGTGTTACATTATATTCAATTTCTTTAAAAAATGCACCTTACAGAATACCAAAAACAAAAATGTGCTAGAAAATACCTTTACATAAATGTTGATTTAGAAAATAATGCTTTTGTTACTGAGACATTTTTCGTGGGTTAAAAAATACCCTTTTGAACCTGGCGATACATGGGGAAGGTAAAGTTCACTTGTTTCTGTGACCTCCGCATATGAAGGGATAGTCTGGTCAGCACCATGCCCTGTTTTATGGGTTAGCCACCCCGTAAAATGTTACTTTCTGGGAAAAGTGCAAAATATCTGGAATCTCCCTTACAGAAAGCGGCATGAACCCTGATATATTTTTATTTCCAGATCAAGACCATGAAGCAAATGAAAGTGATTCCTAATCTTATATTTGCTATTGAGCAATTTGAAAAATTTCTCATGCAGCTGAGCAAAAAGTCAAAGGTGAGCATTTATCTTTTCAGTTCGGGATTTCTTAGAATAACTGATCAACTGTCCTTTTATATTAGTCATTCCCTATGGAAATCTAAATATTTGAAAGCTTCATCTAAAATACTTCAGACAGTAAATGGCTCTTTCTTTTATAATTTTTACAATTTTCTTTTCTAAAATAATGTTTTTGACCCTGTTAAATGTCAAGACATTGAAATGTATCTAAGTTTTTTTTTACTTATTGTACAGGTAAATTTATTGGAAAACATTAAGATTTCCACATCCCGAGATTTTAGAATAATCTCTAAAAATGTGGACACAGTTGTTGAACAAGAAATTTCTTCTGATGACACTGATGGGCAAGATGAGGATGAAACAACAGCTGAAAAAGTAAGTTTTCTTGTCATATACTAAACAAGTTATTAGGCTGAAATAAGTGTTGTTGATCTATCTCTTGTTTGATGACAGGAAATCTTGAAGAGAATTAACAAAATCCAATTCAGGAATCTTTGTGACAGTCTAGTTGGTTGTTGGAGTAAATGTATTTGTTGAGAGCAGCTTCTTGCCACATTAAAGCAGTCTCTTTTAAAAAAATTGTAACTGACTTTGGTCAGCCTTCCTATTGTATATTTTGTGCCAATCTAAAAATGTTATTTACAAGTAAGATGCATAATTAAGGACTGCACTTTGAATTTGAAAATAGTAACAAAACTATTTATAGCAATGTGTGTCCTTTTTAACAGTTGGGATTCATTAATGTTCTAAACCAACAAATTTAGATTATCACATTTTTTCTGTTATTTTCATTGTGTTTTTGCCTGAAAGTTTAACACAATTAAACTAGGCTATTGCCTGAATTTTTTAAAAATGTAATAAATGTCTGTTCCTCACTTAGGCTGTTGATAGTGGGGAAAGTTCAAGTTCTGACCAGGAAAACAAAAGTCAAGAGGATCCACCAGAAGAACCTCCAGCCAAGAAAAAGAAGAGAAAAAGCTGAGATATATGAAATCTCATTATGTATTAATTAATTGTTAATCTACTTTACAAATTTTTACATTCATTAAGATATAAGTGGGTTTTTTTTAAATAAATTGTTAGAATTATTTGACAAAATTCATGTTAAGGATAAATAAAATGAAAAAAAAAGTGATTTTTAAAATTAAGGTGTACTCATGTATTTTGACTATCCTGTTATTTGAAAGAAAGCTTTCATCTTTTCCCCTTCTTATCTTTCCATGTAAGCTTTAGTTAAATTTAGGTAAGTGGTAAGGAGACCAACTAGATTCCAAATCAGAGCAAAACATTTAGTATATACTGAATTGTGTATTGTCTAACCAAGTAACTTGTAAACCTTAATGAACTAATTACTCAGTTCTATCTGAATTGATCACTATTTACTAGTGCACAGCTGACCTTTATAAGTAAAATGGCTATGTTAAATGGGAAATGATTTTTAATGTTATCAGTTGTATATTAATCACTTACTGCTAAAACAGTTATGTATATTCCTTTATAGATAGCCTTGTTTTGACCAGTGATTTAAAAAACAATGTTTACTCTAATATCAGCAATAACTAAAGACAACCTATGGGTGATGGCATGCTTCATAAGCTGTGAATGTTATAAATGGTTCAAGCTTAGCACTACACAAGAAGTAATTGACATATTGTAAATGGTTCAAGCAAAAAAAAAAAATGAAGCAACTCATTAGCAAATGTTTACGTATGTTTATTTAGATACATCCATATCTAATAGTGTTTAGTTGTTTATTCATTATAGTTTTTAAAAAGAGGCTTGTGAAACTCAAGACCTATATTAGCCTACATTAATGATAGAGGTTGACTATAAACCTTGTGTTAGCTGATTCATTGGATTCAGGTGCTGTCTCAGGTTGATGGGAGGAAGTCTGTTGCATTTCTCTTGCAGCCTAAATAATGTCATTCAAGATAAATTAAAAGTAATTTATACACCAAAATTTGTGTTTATATTTCAATGAAACATATACTTTCCAATTGTCATGAATGTATACATATGCTTTCATATAGTCAGGGATGTAACTCATTTTTTTCCCCCTTTGAGGAATTGTGTGAAGTTATAAAAACATTTTCAAGTCTTTTGTTTGGTATTTCCTTGAAATTTGTAATTTCCACCTGAAAATAAGAGGAGGAGAGGCAGACCAAGAAAGACCTGGAGACGTGACTTGGAAGAAGACACCAAGAAGATTGGATACACCTGGGGACAGTTGGAGAGATTAGCCCGGGACAGAGACACCTGGAAAGTTCTTGTCAGCGGCCTATGTCCCAGGAGGGACGACAGGCAAACCTAACGTAACCTGAAAATACCATATGCATTTTCCTTCTCTTTCAGGTGATCAATGACGCTATGGTATTGATGTACAAATTGCACCACATATAAACTGACTGTATGCCTTCACACAAATATTTCTAAGATTTTAAAATATTTCAAATTTTCTTGCCTACAAAGATGTATATTCCAGGTGTGAAAGACAAGAAGCGACTTAGATATCATTCACTTGAAGCCTAAATATGTCTTAAAAAGCTAGATATCCTACACTTCAACATGACTAAAATAAAGCTCATTTGATATCCCTAATTTAAACACAGTTTTAGGTTTAATAAAGACAATAATTAGCTACACCATTTTTACATAGAGCAAATATGTTATTAACTCCCATAAACTTTTCACTGTCTAATGTAGATGTGTGGTGGGTGATTCTAGTGTCATGAGCTAGCAAATAAAAATACATTTTTCATAAAAAAATAAAATATGATGATTAACTTACGTGCGATTAACCCTTTGTTGGATCACTACTTTCTTCTTAGTTTTATCAATCTCTTTCTTTTGATTGTTGGTCAACAGTTGTTGCTTTGAGAGATCATCAGTTGCCATATTCAGCTCTGCTGTGATGGCCTGTTGATGCAAAAAACAGAGTCAATTAGACAATGTCTAATTTTTAAAGGGACATAAAATATGATGATAAAGTAGTAAAAAATACTAGCCTGAATTTGTCTTTGCTGTTTTCTTATTGTATTCTTAGCCAGCGTCATCTCTATACTTAGAGAGGGCATTTGACGGCGCTGAATTAGAGCACGAAGTTCCATGAAACACAGATCTTTATTCTGTAACAGCTGCTCTTTTTCTACAACTTCTGTTGTTTTGTTTATCAAACGTTGCGTCAGTTTGTTAATCTTAATATAGAGCTCATACTTGGAAGGATCTGAGGCCTAAAAGGGATAGTTTTATAAATATGCAGTATGTTTGATGATAACTTAGATCCCTTATCACATTGGTCTAAAATAAAATGTATAGCTTAAGTGACAAAAACCTGGACTAGAAAGTAAACAGAGATTTGGAAATAAAAACAATTTCTTGTGTACATAAACCATGGTATAATTAACACCACAAAATATATACAAACCAGAAGAGCTCTCCAGCGATGTATGATTGGTTCTCTAGTGGCCACTAGTGCCACATTTCTGGCCTTTTCTAGTTCTAAAAGCTTTGCAGTTTTTGAAAGTTCTTGCCTAAAATCAATTAGAATAAATAATATTTATCAAGGACAAAATATCCCAATAAAGAGTGACAATTTTTAAGTGATAGTTTTAAGAAGAAAAAAATGGTGCTTTGGAAAGCCAGGTGGAAAATCTAGGCAGTAAGTTGAAAAGGGGCTAGATAGCCCATTTATCAGGCCCCCTCTCTCTGCACAGCTGATGGGAACAAGGAAGAGGGAACAGCTTGGCATCAACTGTTGCTGTGAAAAAAGGGAAATCAACCAGCATTGTGATAATTTTATACCTTAAAGTTGTGATCACAAATTGACAGACTTCATGGTTTCTCAACTTCGCTCGTAAACTTTTGATTTCCAGTTTGAGGATATACAAATCATTGTTCATATTTTTATGGTCAGCTGAAGACATCTTCATCACTTTCTCTGATCTTTCAATCTTCTTATGGAGTAAATCCAGCTCAACGGTAGCCTGGACCAACTTTGCTCCAAATAGATCTCTTTTTCTACGAAGCTGTAAATATAAATTGCTACAAATTTTAGATTTTTAAAAAATAAACTTTAAATTTATTCAGCTTTATTTAATTGTGGAGTTTTAAGGGATATTCATGCAATTAACAATATTTGAAAACAAAAAAAAATTACCGATTCAATGAAGCTTTTGTATTCTTTGATAGTGTGCCATGCTTTTCGCATTTGGGATATCATAATCCTAATCTCTTCAGTCATGACTAAAATTTTAGCCTTCCCATCCTCCACTTGTGCTTTTAAACTGATCACTTCTGCTGCCAGCTGTTCTATTTGATGATGTAAGTCTTTTGTATTGCTCTCCATTTTCTGTGAAAGTATAACTTTGCTAGGTATATGTCATTTAGCAAGATATTTTATTATGATTAAGTACAAATAAAATGTTTAAAAAATGTACAACCCTTGGCTACAGAAAACAAACTTTACAATGTTGCTTCAATCATTTGAATATTGTTAACCTTATAAAAAGTTAGCCTACTAACTCGCCAAGTGATAAAGAAGTTGAAACATTCAGTAATGAGACAATTTTACCAGAATAAAATCCTCTTTCTCTTTGTTCATGGACTGCAATCCTTTTATCTCTTTATTTTTCTGTTTGAACTGCAGCACTTGTAGTTGTTCAATTTCCTATAATGACATTCTATTATCAATAGGTTAATGAATCACTCTAGAAAGAAAAAAAAGCTCCTCAATTCTATGAATAGATCAGAAAAAAAACAATAAAATGGTATTGGACAGTTAGACAGTGATAAATTAGAGGATGTAATCACTCAAAAATTACAGATGTAATAAAAAACACAATTTTCAAATACATACAGGACAAGTTTAAGATTGAAATAATGAATGAGCTTACTGCTTGTGTATTTGTCTCATTATAGAGTTCTATGTTAGTCCTCATTAGACTCTCCAGCTTAGATTCTGTCTCCATTCTTTTTAGATCCATTTTATTTGCAAAGTCTTTATGAGCCTCCACCTCTCTGGTTAATAGACGGCTTTTCTCTGCTGTATCCAGATACTAGAATTCATGTGAAGATAATCTTTTTATTAATATAAATTAGGTTTTGAACAGAAATATTAACTTACAACTTATTATCCTTTTTAAGAGGCAAATAATAAAAAAAAATAAAACTCACATGATTCTTGATGATTCCCAAATTGGCATGTAAGTGGTTTTTCTTAACAACAAGTTCTTTCACAATTTGTTTCTGGCGTTGTATTTCCTCATGCATAGCTGTCAGCTCTTTCACAAGAACCATGGCATTGGTTTCAGAGAGATTCAATAGATGAGCCACTTTAGCTTTTTTGTGTAACAAATCAACACACCTCTGGAGATTTAGAGGGATCAAACTACAGAGACAATTTTTTTAAAAATAACTTGAAAAATCTAAACTTTTCACTTTAAAAAAATTACAAAATGTATGTCAGGTTTTCAATCATAAATGAATAAATGTCCTCGCTCATGAATATGAAGATATATGATTCTTTGTATGATTCAAAACTCACAACAGACTAGTATGCCTGTTCAAGTTTAGTGGCCCTCATGTTAAAGAAGCCTAAGTAAAGTTGGTAAGTAAGGGATGTTAATAGTTTTTAAAGTGGTTGAAAATTTGCAGCAAGTACACTAATCCTCTACATGAAGGGCCATAAAATAAGGGGAAAATATTTTTTCTACTTTAATGTTATGGTAGACATCTAAAATTGCATGCTCTGTGACTAGCAAAAAAAGAGTGTACTAATAATTAGAAAAGATAAAGTAATAAATACATGCAAAGTTATTCAATAACTTTACTTACAGCTGTTAGTGTATCATTCTGATCTTGTTTTATTTTTAACAATTTCTCAAGATGATCTATTTCAGAATCACGTTTGCTGATTTCTGCAAAATACATTTTTTAATTTTAAAAGCCAGTTGTCGAATTTTAAAATTTTAATAGTATACAAATTCTTAAATAACTTCATTACATTTGCATGTATAAATTTCTTTTTTGTTAATTCCCTTTTCAGATGTATGATAAAAACTTACCATTTTGTCTAGCTGTCTCCTTTTGGTTCATCTGTATGAGTTCTCTTCCTTGGTGATCTAGAAGTCTCCTAGTGTCAATTAACTCAGATGTCATTTTTCTAAAGATAAAATTAGTATTATTTGATACATGAGAACAATATTTTCTAAGCAATACATTTTATAGTGGTTCGTTATGATAAGTAAAAAAGGCCTAATGCTAATAATAATTATAGAAAGCAAAAAGGAACTAATATTATTTATGTGTGTGTGTGTGTACATATATATATATATATATATATATATATATATATATATATATATATATATATATATATATATATATATATATATATATATATATATATATATTTATATATATATATATATATATATATATATATATATATATATATATATATATAAAGCTTTTTTAATTGTTACCCTTATTGCTGTCCCTCCTAATCTGTCTATAATTCTTAACTAGTTAAGTGAATAAATCTACATTTAGGGATATTATTTAGGGATATTTATCTTCTTTTATGTTATTACAATTAATTATTCTTATCATTTGATCACTTTTTTGAGAAAGAAACTTTTGCTTTGAACTAGATTAAATGTTAAATCCCTGATGTCAAATTTTATTAGATGCCATAAATTTCTAAAACATAAATTTCTTACCTGTGCTCAAGAGTCATTGCTGTAAGTTTACTGTTTAAATCATGATTAGCGTTGTTGCAAGACTGAAAATTGTAAGCAAATACAATTTTATGACAACATCACTTTGATTTTTTTAAAGCTGTTCTAATAATAATTGTATTAAAAGCTTTTACTCAACAGAATTATTTTAATGAAAAGGAAACATCCATTAGACTAATGTTTAATGGATATGAGTAGACCTAGATAAAAAAAAATTTTTATATAAGATAAATTTGAAATTTAAAAATTTTTAATTTAAATCAAATAAACTATGTATATAATGTTTATATACTCACTTCAAATTGACCTTGAACTCTTTTCAGATCTATATGAAGAGAATCACATTTAGAGTATAAAGATGATTTTTGATTCTCTAAATGTGCCGCTTCTGTTTTACAAGTGTTAGATAATTTTTTCAGGGTACGTATTTCTCTCTGGAAAAATATTAAATAAATGACTGTTATAAGTTACAATTTCATTAATTAGATCAGTAGAATCCAAAACAAATATTGCAACCACTGAATGCAAAATAAAATACTATGTTGTATGTTAGTTGCATTTAGTTTTGTGAGCTATGGCATGTTCTGAAATAAAACTGGAAAAAAAATTGTTTTCTCACAAAATGTTTGCCATTTTTAGACGTGCATTCTTAACACAAAATTGTGTAACCTATATCAGTTTGTACCTCCCTCCATGTGCAAAAAGTACTATTTCTGTAAACTGATTGCAAGATTTGAACCAGACAGAGAGGATGACAAACTTGAAAAATTAAATTAAATTTTCATGGTAGATTTACTTAATATATTGTTTTTGAGATTCCAGTTGTTATTTTCTAAACTCAATAAAAAAGATCTATTAAATATTTAAGATTATGGCAAAGCAGTTTAACTATTTTGTAATGGAATTACCTAGCTGACATGTGGTATTATAATTCAATGTAAATGAAATATATTTGATCTCACTTGTAAATTTCTGTTTTTGTCTCTGCTTGTCAACAGCGCATCAGTTTTTATTCGTCTATCATCGTCAACAATTCTGAGGTATCTTCTGCATTCTTCCAGTTCCTTTGCTAGCGTTAATTTTTCTTGACGCAGCTGGTCTTGAACAAGTGACTTCTTTTCTGGCAATGATGGCCTAGTTGACTGGTCATCTGCAAACTATATGAAAACTATTTCTCTTTATACAATATAAAACTGTAAAAAAAGAATTGAAAACTTAGAATTAGTTGGAGTCAAAATTACAAGGAAATTGTTGCAAAATATATATGTATTTCAATAGACATAACGCTATAATTAATTTATTATTAATTGTACAATGAACAGTTACAAGTAATCATAAGTAATTTTTTACTATCAAACTTTTACTTCATTAAATTTATTTTGATTTGCTTAACTACTTGTAATATTGGATGACAGAAATATTTTTGAAATAGTGAAATCAATACAAATAATGTGCGTATTTGGTTTATTTGGTCTTTGCATATGAAGGGATTGTTGGCCAAGACGATGCCTAACTTTTCACAGATGGTGTATGTGATGTCAGGAACTAATTTTATCATAGAGAACCTTTCCATGTTTCCATCTAAAATGTATAATTATTCATGTCAATAAAAATATTAGAAAGCATGAGTTAGATGGACTCGAGTACATCCACCAGAATAAAGCTGGGAAATTAGTTTACAGAATAATGAGCTCACATGCTTGAATACTATGTTCCAGACAGTTTTGTGAAATACTTATGTGTTGATAGTCAAACTTCCAGCCTAATAAAACAAAAATTACTGAATTATTTCAGAAGGTTTAATAAAACAAACAAACCTTTGTCATGAGTTCAGAGATTTCTTTTACCCTTTGAGTATTTGAACGATTAAGTTCATCTTCAAATTTTTCCTTTAGGTTCTGTATCTCATTTTCTTTACTCATCAGCTTAGTTTCTATTGCTTCAGATTGTTTTCTAGTGGATACAGTTATATTGAGAAGATAATAAGTATCTGAGACTACCAACAGTATGCCTAAATTGTTTAACATCCCTACTATAACTTAGATCAGTAATATGTTTCATGTATCTTTCTGATGTAATCAGGGAAAAGTTTCTCTATCCTCAAGCTTATGTTTCTTTACATCTTTTTAGTAATATTTTGTACACTTATAATTTCAACTGTTTTATTTTATATTTTATATATTTTATAAATGTAAATTACACTCAGAAAACAAAAACACAAAGAGCCAAAAAGAGGAAGTCTAATAACATTAAATGAATCATCATATTCCCCTACTTAGGAAATTACTCCACCATTCAACAGCTGCAAATATTTAATTAATTTATGGTGGTCTAATACTCCCCACTTCTAATTGCTGTAAGCTAGTATGGATAGCTTAGGGGATATCCATTAATGAGATCCATGCAAAAAATGGAATTCTAGGCACCCCTCTCTCTCTGTTCACTTTAGATGAACTCCCTTTCCCACCCACCCATGTGGACATCCATAAAAATTAAATAATTCACTCAAAACTTAATCATGTCTTATGCAAGTGTACCTTGCAATGCCATTATATGCCATTATTATTTAAAAGTAAGATGTTTTGAGCAAATTTACACTTTTTGTATGCAGGTCAATGTTTAGTGTTTTTTGTAATACACACATCATTTTATGTTAAATATAACGTGGATGTTCCCCAAAGTCCACATGTGAAGATAAAGTTGACTTTTTCTGATGCCTCCTTCGACTCTATATGTAAACACTATAAAAACTATAAATGAGTAAACCCTTGTACTGTAGTCATATTTTATTTTGGCTTATATTTTCTACATGATACTCACTCAATTTCCCTCAGTTTTTTTATTTCCTCCATCAATTTATTTATTTCCTTCACCTTGCCTTTACCGAAATCTTCTGCTTGTTTTAGGTCAACTTTGGTTTGAAGAAGCTCATTTTGAAGTTCTTTTTTCTCCTGATTAAAGATGGAAATAAAGTTAGGGCATTTAGCAACATATTTTATACACACACACACACACACTATATATATACACACACACACACATATATATATATATATATATATATATATATATATATATATATATATATATATATATATATATATATATATATATATATAGTACTAATAGGCCTATATATTTCTTTTATTTTATACAGGCATAGATATAAGTAAATTAATCAGCAGCCTATTCTAGTCAACTCACTTCATCAAGTTCCAAAATGTTAATTCTATGTCTTTGGCTCATATTTAGAGCTGCCATAACCCTTGGGTCCCGTTTGTGACGTGCCTCATAGCGGTCTATCTTTTCTAAGTATTTGTGAACTGTGTTAGCTAATAACATGTTCTGAACTTGACTTTCTTGATAAAGATCATACATCTTCCGCAGCTCTGATTGCACTTTAGCCTCATTAAAGTTGCTTTTAACTGCTTCATAGGCCTAAGAATAATTATTAACATTAATAGATTAAAACATAAAGAATTGCTCAACATGATAAGTTTTCATATTTAAGCCATAAATATTACTCTTCAAAAGTTAGGGAATCTTTGATCATTAAATATTTTAAATCTCTTTGATGTAAATGTTTTGCCAAAACTATTGATAACATTAACAGAGGGTAGTTGTTAAACAAGGGCCAAAGAAAAATACTAAAGGGAAAGCATTCTTAAAATTATGTTGGGCAATTCATGGCCATGACACTTCATATAATGTAAAGCAGCCAAAACACAACATGGTGCCACCATCCAAAGTAGTGAATTAAAAAACAATCATGCTAGTAGGCTCATAAACTCATCCTGTCAAATCATTATGCATGCAAAAAGAATTTCAAGTACATTTTAAGCATGTTAGTCACTAATGAAGTGTGTATTGTTTGTATTGTTGAAATTAACAGACATTAGAATCCAAATTAGAAAAATTCTAGATCTGTTGGCTGAAAAGAGTACATATACAGGCTGAACATTTGAGGGTTAAAATGAATTAAACAGGAAATATGTACTGATAAACAAAGGACAAACACAGGATGGCCAAATGACACATGGCCACCACACCATAACTTTCCACCTTTTTGAGCAAGACGTCATCTGAGTCAACCACTATTTGCAGATCTGTCCGGCTGGTGAGTGGAGGCTCAATGTCATTCAGGATCTCTTGCTGTGATGGTGTCAGTTTGATCAGCCGGTCAGGAACTGGCTGTGAAAATGTAACATTCAATCAATCAATTCCATTTTAGATATTTTCATTTTTTTTTTAAGTTTTTTTTATTTGACTATTTGGTTGAACATTTTAAAATTTCAAATGCAACAAATATGATACAAATATTTTAAAATTTTGATAAGATGTTTCAAAAGATCTGTAACATCTTGTTCAGAAATTTGTATCATACTAAGCAGTAGCTTAGTAAAAGTGCTGGTAAAATCAACATTATTAAAATGTGGGAAATAAATATATCAGTGGACAAAAAGTATTGAACAAGTAAAATAAAAACTGTGGTTCTCTTTCTTGGCAATGAACTAGTCAACATATTTTAACTCCAGCTTGACAATTACCTCAGCACCTGCATCTTCCTGAGAAATAAAGTTATGTAAAGAAAAATTTTAATTACAAAAAATATAGGTTATGGCCTACTTGTTTATTTTTTTATATTATCAAACTTAATAGGTATTTTATTAAAATAATACTAACAGTAAAGTGATATTTTTTTGTAAGCTAATTGACATTCATGCACTAACTTGTTAGCTAGAAAATTTTAGTAGGCTGATATACATAGATCTACCTCTTTTTCTGCAGCACCCTCCTCTCCATCTGGTCCTTCTCTCTCTGTCTGAGATGGCTGTTGATCTATCTTATTGCTACTTGAAGGCTGTACTTCAAGTTCACTTTTAATTTCTGCAAGACGCTCATTGTTCTGAAGCTCAGCAGACTCAGCTATGCTCCCTTCAGCCTGGTCAGTTCCTTCATCAGCCTAAAAAAGGGGCAGCCGAATTGTAAGTTTTTAAGTGAACATCAGAAAGAATATGTTGGATTGATGCTCATCTTTTGCTTAGACCCAAACCGTCCATAACTATATGACATTATCGTTGTTATATTAAACTACCAAACAAATGTACTCTAGCAGCTAGAGTAAATCCCTGTATATAGGCTAACTTACCCTAGCCCTGATATTAACAGCCGCACAGACAAGACGTCATAAAACCACCTAGATTCTAGATTCTAGACCTATTTCGCACTAAACGACCTCACACTGCTAGAGACGTAAGCTATGATGTTCAGTGTTTCTTCCAGACTTTTTTCTCCAGGGGGACACTTGAAATTTTCGGGGGGGGGGAGATTTTATTCGGGGGGGGGGGGGGGGGGCGACACTGTTGAAAGTATATATTTTCTATATAAATTTCATTTCGTTGGGGGGTAGACTTTCTTGGGGGGGGGGGGGCAGAGCCGCCTGAAGAGATGCCTGGAAGAAACTCTGATGATGTTTGAAGAGGTGGAAGGGAGAGAAAAAAAAAAGGGGGGGGGGGAGTAAACACACTTTTGCATTTAAAAAAAGTAATGTAGGGGTCATATCCATAAATGACGTCACGCTTTTTGGCCATTTTTTTTACCCCCTCCCCCCCCCCCCCCCCTACGTCACACATCGTCACAAAAAGTCAGACAACCCCCTAAAATGACGTCACACTCCACCCCACCCCCTAATTTACAATTTATCCTATGTTTTAAATTTGCTGTGTTTTCATCCCTTTAAAATTACCGCTCGTTGACACAGCATTAATAATGAGCGTGCATGACCCATACGTGGCACCAGCAGGTAAACAGTAATACAGTGAGGTAATGTTAAAGCTGAAAGGATTTTAAAAAATTTAAATACTTAATGTAAATGTAGCTATTTCTTGCAGGCATGACGACACACGTGAGAATAACAATACATTCAGTATAATATGCAAATTATTTAACTATTAGCACTATGCCCAGACCTTTAATTTTCCTAGTATATTTCATTGTAGCCTATATGATAGATTTAACGGATGTCATCTCTCACAAAGCAATTTAAATGTAACAGATTTTTAAAAGTAAAGACTCTCCACTAGATTATTAAATCGCGTGTTTTACTGTTAGCGAAGAGGATGTTGAAAAATGACAAGAAATACTCTCACCAGAGTTTCTTCCAGGCAGAGTCCCCCCCCCCCCCCCCCCCCCCCACCCCCGGAGAAAAAAAAAAGTCTGGAAGAAACACTGACTCTCAGTCGGACTTAAATCTAAGCAAATTTAATAGAAATTTTATTAATAACGATTAAATAATAATATTAGTAACAGGCAGTGAGGTGGCGAGGTCGGGTGTCACCCGGTGCGACACTTAATGGTGTCACAATCCCCCCCCCCCCCCCGGAGAAAAAAAAAGTCTGGAAGAAGCACTGACCCTCAGTCGGACTTAAATCTAAGCAAATTTCATAGAAATTTTATTAATAACGATTAAATAATAATATTAGTAACAGGCAGTGAGGTGGCGAGGTCGGGTGTCACCCGGTGCGGCACTTAATGGTGTCACAATCCCCCCCCCCCGTTAAAAAATTGTATATATATATATATATATATATATATATATATATATATATATATATATATATATATATATATATATATATATATATATATATATATACTTCAGAGAATTTGAATGATTTATTAATGGGTGATGGGCTGTTTATTGTGGAGTGCTTAGGGCCTAAATGTGTACAGTTTGAATAGTTATATGTCAAGAATATTCGCAATATTATTACTGGTGAGTCCTCGGGCAGATGAGGCTCGTTAGCTGGGGACAGCCACTCTTCTAGGAGAGACAACTCCAAAATTAAACAACTGCTGCCTTGTAGACTATTAATATGGCAATCCTCAATAAAAAGTTGTGATATTTAAGCTTATTGTAAAGTTTTTGTTCTCTTCTATCAAATGTAATGTTCTTCTTCTGCTTCTCGTTCTCAGTCACAGACGATCAAAAAATGACGAAGAATAAGCCGTCTTCTGCAAATCTTTGACTATCTTTCTTGAGCGGGAATTGTCTGTGTGTAGCGCGCATCTAAAAAGACTATAGCACCAACACGTGTGCTGCATAAATTAGTGTTCTAACAAATTTACTACATTATTCACTCTCCCTCTTCTCTGCTCTCAAAGGATCAGCGTTGGCACGATATTCATGTGAGAACTAGCCAGTATTTGACTCAGATCGTTAAATGCATGGATGGTAAATGTTGCTCAAAGCCAAGAAGCTCGTATTTTAGCTTAATAACTGATAGATTTCTTCGTCCACCTTTACCAGTCGCCCAAACAAGTTGTGGACTAACAATACCTGAGCGTTCAACAGATGGCTCTTCACGTGAATGAAATCCTCCCCCGCTCTTCAAATCCTTATCGCACAATCCCTTAATGTTGACCGAGCTCAGTCAATATTCAAATTTTATTAAGTAATGTGGTATTTTAAAAAATAAAGAAGGTACTTTTGAGGGTGGTGGCAAGCTTTAGATGTAGGCCCCTACGTATTTTGTGACGATGTGTGACCATAGGGAAAGCGAGGAAAATCATTTTTAAAAGTGTGGATCTTTTCTCCAGCCACCCCCCCAAAAAAAAGATTATTTTTAAAAAAGTATATGAAACTTGTACTTTTAGATTTTATTGAAGAGGATGAAATTGGGACATGTCTTTAATAATTTGCATGAAAAGGTATGTATTTCGGTAAATTTAATCCTAACCCCAACTGTCAAGGTTGCGTGCGTGCATTTAATTAGAGATGTGAAAAAGTGTCGGGGCTTAATTTTTCGTGTGTGTGTGTGTGCACTTTTTGCACTAGTGGCAGTGCTTACCTGGGAACCACTAACAATTATTGTATTTTTGATTATGTGATATGCGCTGATTAGTATAGATATAGATCTAGAGCCACACCCACATAGGGCTAAGCTTAGGACAGGTTTCCAAAACTGTGAGAATGTCGTGTGAATCTTAGATGCGCTGTATAAAGAAACCCCATTCATTTAAGTTCTAAGCCTATTATATTTTATCTTAATTTACTACAGGTACCTCGTCCGACATCTTGGTTAGATATCAGTGCCAACTGCAAGACTTTGCATTCTGTATCAACAACCAACGCCAGTGGTCGGATAGACGGGCTAGTACTTGAGCATAACAAATGGGAGGATGTTCTACCAATTTCCCGTACAGTATTCAATGACGTTTACAGCAATGTTTATCAATGACGTCATTTTGACTAAAAATGCTTCTCTATCTGTAGAATGTATATAGAAAATATACACTTTAATCACTTTAAATGTAGTAATTTGCATGAAATAAAAGGTCACCAACCCTAACTCTAGAAGCGGATAAGAAGTTTTTATGGTTTGCGTTTAAATATTGTCTACAGACATCAGAGACAGGCCACAAGTGGCGGGGCTTAACTATTCACACATACACTTTTTGTATTATCTGGACAATATCTTTTTTTTTCTCTTTTCAGTAATATGGCTTTATCAGCATTTTGTAGGAAGATGCTGTGCTTTAGATAGCTTGTTTGTTACTTCAAAATTATTATATAAAAACCAGCTTGGGTGTAAAGTTCGACAGCACGCGACTGTCCCGCGCTGTGTGCTTACAATATATAATGGCAGCGCACAAGCCTTGGTGGCAGCTCTTTGGTTTCAATGGAAGGGGGTGGGCAAACTGTGGTGTGCAGCCTATAGACCTCACAACTTCAGTAAAGTAAGTTAGTGAGAAGACGATCAGAGTTTCTTTCAGGCATCTTTCTTATAACCAAGTAAATATATGAATTCAACCTATTGTTATAACCAAGTAAATATATTGATTCAACCAATTGTTATAACCAAGTCACCATCTTGATTCAACCAAGTGTACCAAGTAAATATATTGATTCAACCAATTTTATAACCAAGTAAATTTATTGATTCAATCAATTGTTATAACTAAGTAAATATATTGATTCAACCAATTTTATAATCAAATCATCATCTTGATTCAACCAATTGTTATAACCAAATAAACATCTCGATTCAACTACATGTTATATAAGATTTTGCCCGCACATAAGTTGAGGAAGATTAAAGTATAAAGTATACTCAAATCCTTATTTTAAGCTGATCAGCTTGCCAAAACAATATTTCCTCTAGGTATGTTTAATTTATTTTTAATGTAATGTGAAAACTATCAGTATGTTTAAAAAAATGCTGAATAGGTGAACTAATTATTAATCCCCTCAAACAATGTATTTAGCCAAATTTATTCACATTTTATTATTAACTTATGACCTTATAATAGTAACAAACTACATTAAAATTCTAACCGCGGTTATCTAAAAAATTTAATTATATTAAAATTATCTGCAGACAAAATTATTCTCTATTAAAAACATAAATAACCTCAGTTTTTCATCCTTTCAATATTCTTCAAATATAATTAAGGAATGAATGAGTAATTAATAATGAAATAAGAATGTGATTAATGTGCTTAGATCACACACTCTTTGTTCAGGTAGAAATGACAACACATGATTGAATTACAAGAAAAAAGTTTGAAGTTATGGCTCAATTTAATAAAAAAACTGTGTGTATTTAGGCTACAACTTATCTAATAATCTGTAACTGTGGTTTTCAAATACAGAAAAGTAAAAGCAGTAAAAAGAAACACCAATACGAATTCCGGTTGACAACAGATATGATACATGATTAAATAATGAATATCATAGGTACACAAACACAAGTAGTTGTAAGAATTTGACATTCCAAACTGAAATGAAAATTATCAGCAGGCCTATAATAATTTCACTCTAAAAATAAGCATACACACTTCTATAACTGGGTGACAGATAAACACCTAATACAGAAAAAAAACTGGAAATATTAAATCAAAACTGCTTGCTATGTTATGCATCTTTAAAACTCCAACTACAACATTAACACATCTGATATTTTACCAGCAAATATGTAAGTTGATTTAGCAAAAATATTTAATTATAAAGCATTGTACTATAAAAGCTATTAAGGAAAAATCACTACAAAATTCAGTTCTACACAGTTTGAGGAGGCTCCTTGTGATTAGATTTAATGTTTTAAAAAAAAGACCTACAAATTATTTATATTTTAATTTTAAAAATTAACCCTGCATTTGTTACATTTATGAAAGACACAAAATTTAAGTATTTAAGATAATGATAAAATTCAATAAACATTTACAATATTTTTTAAAAATCTGAATTTCTGCTACTAATACTTCACAAGTTTTTTAAAAGATTTTAAGTTATTAAGTAGCTTAAAACATGTTTATAAAAAGAATATATTTATTAACATTATTAAAATAATGCTATTCAAAGTAACAAATGACTGGTGGATAAAAATGTGATTAAAAAACCTACAAATGAGCAAAAAAAAATGTGATAAGATTGCAACTTCTAAGTTATTTTTTATAAGGATATTTTTTAAAAAAAAAGAACACTACAATTAGCTATTTCCGTATATTTTTTTTAAAAAAAAGTTACAATTAATTTACAATAATTATTTTCTAAATAATCAAAATTTGATCTCTTCAGTTGGATAATAAAATAAAATGTTTGAGCTTAAATGAGTTGCTAATTGTCAAATTAAAGTATTAAACAAATTAAAAATATTCAGGAAAAAAAGCAGCGTAATATAAATAAAAGAGTAAAATATTGTATTAGACAAATCGACAACCTTTTCTAGATGACTGGAAATAGTTTTAAAATGAGCAATAAAATAAAAACAAAACAAAAAATTTAACAGTAGTGTTGATTGTTAAAAATTCTCTTAAAAATCTGGTCACATGGGTAAAGTAAAAAAAATAGGGAAAACATAACCCTTTCAGGATTGGCAATTTTAGTCTATCCATGTCAGGAAATCCTCAAAATTTACAATAGGTGCCAAAATCTCTACACACATGAAACCAAAATCACAATTATAATAACTTAAAGAAATAAACACCAGTCAAAATAATAGTTATAAAACTCTGTTGAAATAATATGTACATCAGTGTCACTTGACAGTCAAAGTAATTAAATATATTTAGTACTGCAATTTAAACATCAGTCAAACGAGAGAACATAGGGTATCTGACTTCATTTTTTATTTTTATTTTGAGTTAATCATTTGCTGTAGCTAAATGAGTTTGTTGCTTCATTAAGTTATCATATTAAAAAGTGTCATGAAATAGTTGAAAAATGTGTTAAATAAATTGTAAAACATACATGGTTAGAAAAGCTTGATGTAAAAACAAAATTTAAATAACAATGTCTGACAAAATCAAATTTAAAATCAAGTTTTGGAATAAAAACTATCAATAAAACAAACATTTGACACACATCAAGTTTTATTTTATCATTATAAAAAAATAGTCTTTTATTCATTTTAATTTTGGTTTATAATTTATGAGTGGATTTCATTGGTTTAAGATAAGAATCATTTACAGATTTATTCTTTGAAAACTTTGCTTGATTTGGTCACATAAAGTAAGAACTAGTAGTCTGAATTATGTATTAACTCAGTGTGGAGAATACCATTTTTTCATCACAGATGATTGAAATAATTGTAAAAAATGTGCCAGTTATTTTGTTTAAAGAACAACAATTATGCCCTGGTTTTTTAAGTCCACAAAACAAATATAAGTAGTTTTTTTCTTTATTGTTTTTTTATAAGAAAACTAAAAAAATTATTTCATACAAGCTCTTAAAGTGTTTAAGTAGATGGTTGTATATTTTTAAAATTACAGTACAATTTAACATGCTATATAAATAGATAAATTATTAAGTTGAAATATATTTTGGATACATTTTCAACATATTGTGTCTTGATAATTAACAAAAAAATAGTAATATATGGCAAGCTTTCTCTTCTGAACATTTGAGAAGTCTTTTAGAGATGACCCATCATGAAATGTTTCTTAACAATCTGTGTATATAAAGATCACAGAACTGGACTAGATTGAGGCTAGGGTCTGTAAAAGGAACCTAGTTTTGTAGGGAATTTACTTATGTTGATAATAACTACCTTGTCAAATTGTTAAATAAGACCAAAATCTAAATTAATAATTACATAACATTGTAAAAATAATTTATTTATATAATGACTAAATAATAATTTAAATATTGAAACCCAGTGGAACCTCTATGTTCATACATTTAGATCAACTCTATAATTTCCACACTAGGATTTGAAGGCAGGGGAGTGTAAAGAAAGGTCACAGTTCTATGGATGAACGTAATTTAACATTGAAATTACTTAGTATTTCAAACTCAAATTACACTGAGTTTAGCATGAAGTTGGTGTTTTAAAAAGAATTTAGACATGTTATTAAAAAATTGTCTCAGAAAAAAGAAGAATGATGATCATACCATGTGATAAGCATCAAGTGAAAATCTTGACAGTTAACTTCCTCTTGTATTTTACACATAAATTAATCAGCTTAGTACATCAGTAAAGAATGATGTAATGCAAATATTCAGATAGAGTTTTGTTAAAGAGAATTTCAGATACCATTCTATTATTATCAAGACTGCAAAAATACAAAGTAACATTATAGTAATTTCTAATGAATTACTGAGTGAGAGAGTGCAAAATTCCAGTTTTTTGTATGGACATTTTAAATAGATGATCCCATAAGAGTCTTAAGGTAATTTGATTTCTTCTTCCCAGAATGTATAATTTAAATTCATATATAAATATGACTGAGTAGGTATGTTAACTTAGTTCCACTGCAGTAGCACCTTATTCTTTTTAACAAAGGTCAAATTAAAACTATGGGGAAAATCCTTCAAAATAGCTCATCACTATAGAGCACAAAATTTATTCTTCACTATGAAGAGTTAAATGTGAGATGTGTAAATATTTTTAAGTGACTGTTTCTTTACACCCAAAAGATTGGTCCATTTGATCAAAGTGCTGCTTTTTAGACTGCTATAACATTAACAACACAATTGAATGGTTACATGACTTATATTTTCTGGTGTAACTTAGTCATCTCATTTTTGTGACAACCACTAGAATATAAGTATGTAATTCAAGTAAGTTAGACAAATCTACTTCTAGTGGTTTTTCACTGTAAGAATATTATAAACTAATTATGGACTGTGGTAGGAGAAAAATTAAGTTTACAGCAATGATACATTTTAATTAAGCAAAATGCATAGTATCAAAAGAACTTATTTAAAAAGCTTTCCAGTTTATAAGTATAACAATGGCTTAAGTAGCATTTCATTAGAAAATAAAAACAATTACACAGTGAAGATATTTCCTAGCCAGGCCCATGTTTTTCAGTTGATTCTGCTGTGGCCTCACTTTGACTCACCAACAGAGCATGACAGGAGCAGCAAACTAAAACTGTTTCTTTCATGGCTGCGGGAGCTAAGGAAGAGATAAGACATAAATGTCAAAGGTCATGGGATTAAAGCTGATATTATTTATTATTATTTAATGAAAATAGGGTAAAATACCATTTTAGAAATTTGGACAAATCTACTGTCAAATTTAACCATCAACAAGAAAGAACAGTTTAACAAGGCAGATAGCAAGTTACTAAACACTGTCTTTGGTTCTAAAGTAGTGAAAATACCCATGAGTGCTTTTTAAGCACCTGCTTTTCTCTTGTTTTTAGATTTTTACAAAGACATTGCCTTGAAATACTAGGGCTGTTGTTTTGGAAGTATTTTAACCATAAGAATTACATAGTTTCTTTTTCTTTAGGTTAAATCTTTGAGTGGAAAAATTCTTTTATTAAAAAAAAAATCCCTTGACCAAAGTTCATGTTTTAAATAATATTTAGACAATATAACAATATAAAAAGACATGAACAGAAAGAGTTTCGGGTGTGTTTTAACTTAGGTAAACAAATGGTTATAAATGACCACAGTTGGATCTAAAATTATTATTACTGGGCTTGGCAATAATAATTAATCATTGCATTTTGGCTGTAAGTGTTAAACATGCAGATAATATATTATTAACCTAGATAAATACTTCAGGTAAACTATTTAAATATTCAAATATTTTTATAAAGTGGAACAATCAGTTAAACAAAAAGACCTCACTTACAAGTTGCTCCAAAAACAGAACGGGGAACCTTTTGATAACAACATCGGTTACAAAAACTGTAGCCACAGTGCCGACAATATGACTAGGGATAGAACATTAGCAAAGCATGATGCAAAATCCAGCATGCATAATGGGGATAGGTGAGAGTATACACAAGAAGGTAAGCATATTTATGAAAAAAAAAAACAATGAGGCAGATCCTCCTCCAACTTTTTAAAGCTATTTTTTTTAAATAACTTAATACTTAAAATTCAAATTTCTAATAAGACTTAAGAAAAACTGATGTATTCATGTTGCTACTAATAGCTGTGTATTTATGAAAAATAGAAATCAGGTCTAAACTATAAAATTTATGCCAGGAATTTTCTCATTATTTTTAAAAATATTTTCTTTTTTTTGAAATTGTATGAATTCCAAACTACTTACTCGTTTTTTCAAAATAGATGCAAAAGACACTTTACAACCTAAACAGCTTTCTGAAATGGTGGAGGAAACAAGCAAAGGACTCACAAAATAAAGATGTTTTAAATATTAAAATCCTTGAAAATTTAAAAATAAATAAATAAAAAATGTGTTGTTTTAGAGACACCCTAAACTTTTACAGCTGACATTTCAATATTTATGAACTGTAAGTAGAGTCAAACTGAAATCAGCAACTCATTCATTGCTTGAGGAAAAGATTTTAAATCATTTAATAATAATCTGTAAAATTATCAATCATACTATACCAGTATGCAGATATTTTTTTTGGTCATATTAAATATGCACAACAAAACAAGAAAAGCAACCAATTGTTCCACCAAAGGTTTTACCAGAAAAAAGAACATTAGATAAAGAAAAAACAAAAAGTACATTGTAGTTTTAATACAGTATCAAACTGATCAGAAGTCAAACACAGATACTTTAAAATATGTAGTAAAGTTGGGATACATGTACAACAAAAATGCTGGTTTATACTGAATATGTATCAAGATGTTAATGACTTATTACACTGTAATAGGACTGAAATACAAAGCACACGTGCAACCTACTTTATCATTGGCTCACTAAGAATGAAGTTACATAAAGTGTTACATTATTATTCACAGTGTAAACTGAATTTTTTATGGTAGTTTCTCCTGTGTTTGCGGTTTTTCAATTCACATACATTTGATTAAAGTGTTCATGAGTTGAAACATTAAAAGAAAAGAAATACTTATATTGTTATAGAAATTAGACCAACTGAAATAGATTCTATGTCTTAAAATATGATATTTGTAAATGCTCAAGTAATGAATATTTAAAACCCTGTTTCATCTGTTATCAATATCTATAGTTTACATTGTAAAATACAAAAATTGAAAAACAAAAAAAAAATGATGCAATGGACTAATATGAGTCATGCTTAAGTGATAGAATTTTTATTTGTAAAATAGTTTTAATGCAAACTACTAATTTTATAATGATATACCCCACTGGAAATTTAGTTTTAAAACTGAAATCTTACATTTTTTGTTTGTTTACAAAAGTGATAAATCTTTTCTTTTACTCCTGTATACTTAAAAGCTATTACTATTAGAAATAAAAAGCTTACCATTGGCAATCTGTTTCCTGCGTTTTTTAATCTCCATTAATCTTGCCACCATTCCTGGTTTTGCAGGTGCTGGATCTAAATTTACTAAAGAATTATCACTGGCTTCTTCTGTTAGTTCTTGCTGAAAAATTCACACACAAATGTAAACAATAAATTGAAAAGTAGAATAATCTGAAATAAATCAGCCAGGCCCAACTTTCAGTTTTATGTTAGCAACAAAAGTTTGAGGGAGGCTCTGTCATAAATTGGCAAGTCAAATGCTTAGGTTGCATAAAGTAATAAAAGTGAAACAATTAGCACCAGGAGAATTTCTATTAGTTGACTAGGTATTCTCTTTTCTAACCAGACTTTTATTCCAAAAGTGATTAAAACAGGGTTTTTTTGGTCACCTTTCTGAGCTGGCATTCTAACACAACTAATGCTGTATAGTACTTAATAGCAAGTTGAAGAGTTATGAAATGCCCTGTTCTTGTGCCAGATGAACTAAACACAAAGCTTTATTGACAGTAAAATATTTAGTTAACAGGCTCACATCAGAGCTGTCTTCACCACTTTGATCCTCCTCACAATGATCTTTTTCACATTTTTCTCCTGAGATCTGTTCTTTCTGAAAACATTTGGGTGAAATTATTAATTATCATTCTATACAATTTTTCTACAAGTAAGTTACAAAAAAAATGCCTCCGAACAAAGATAATTGGGACCAACTCAATAAAACAGAACAGTTTGAATTAGTGTCCATTACAAGGCTTCATTCAAAATATTCAATGTGTATTTTTCTGAATCATGCATGGGAATAGTTAAATTTAATCCTGATCTAAGTTCCAAAAAAGTGTTCACTTCCAAGTGTGAGTAGCAATATTTTAAGACATTTAAAAAAATATTATATTGACTCTACAAAAGTCAAATGTGTATGTCCACTTTAAAAAAAAAATCAATGTACATTTATATTTTTGTTGGAAACAATGAAAGCTACCAGAGCATTTATGTTAACTGTCATAAAACTATCAAGCAAATATTTCATGAATATTTCAACACAATATTTTGCACTATTTTAATATGTGAATGAGATTAATAAACTCCTTTTTCTCAAAATTATGTTTTTGAACATACTGTATTTGTCCTCTATACAGTCAAATATGAATGAAGTTCTGGTAAACACTGAAATGTATACTTATAGATCTTACCTCACTGCCCTCGGCTGATACTTTTTCTGACTGATCTACTACTTGTTTCTTAGAAGACAAATACTCTGTTAAGCAGGTGAAGCATTCTAGAAAAAAAAAGCTAGTTACTGATTATATTCAACCATTGCTCATTTAAAAGTAAATTACCTAAATTTTCTATTAAATCATAATATTTTGAAAACAAAAAGTCTGGGTTTTGTTCAAAGCACTAAATACTTCTCTTCTACATGGGAGATTATTGTGTCCAACAGGTGTAACCCATTTAAAACTAGTACCGACCAGTGAAAGATTATGAGGTAGAGGCTAAACAGTTAAACAAGATATTGCTAGCTTAGCAAAAAATAAATATGGATTACTTACTTTTAATTTTATGAGGATGACAAAGAAAAAACCAGTTAATAAATAAGAAACAGTTCCATCTTGCCGGACAAATAACCAAGCTCAGCAAGAAAATGCATGCTTCAATGTGATAACTGAAAGAAAAAATCCAAACACATTGGGAGTTGATTACATGATAAGATAATTGAAATGTTGGCTAACTTACTTACTAAGGGAGTGTTCTGACTACACAGCGTGAAAAAGATAAATTGTATTAGGACTGATATTTTTACACATGAAAAAGTAATTCACTTACATTGCTGATGGTCCCACTGAATCCCATTTTAGAATGGAGTAAAAGTAACTAAGATATTCATTACTTTTGACCACAAAGTCATGCATTTCAATTAAACTGAAAAAAAAATGTTTTTAAAAATGTAATGTATAACTTTAACAAAGTAAGGTAGGTTAAAAACTTCAAGGCATTTTAATATAAGAAACAAATACATAAGCTACTACTCATATTTTTATTAGGGTACCTATATCTGAAGTTTTGAACAGTGTCCAAAGCACCAGCCACCTCTTCTTCACCATCTTGTAGTTTTGATACCTTTTGATTACTTGGTAATATTTTATTCAGTATTTGTGTGTGAACTTGAAACAACGATAAAGTTGCAACTCCAATGACAAAGGTAGATGCCAGCACAAAAACAGCACCTTTCAAAAATAACAACACAAATTCATTATCAGAAGATTCAATTAATTTAAATACCTGTTGAACAACAATTATTAAATCTGTTAAGCAGTACAAGACAAAATTGCAAACCAGCAGATGGTCTAGGTTTCTTAACCCTGTTTAGACCACAGTCAAGAAGGGGGCTTGAATTTCAATACTTCTAGTTTGTCTCAAGATCATTGACTAAAGCTCTTAGGGTTAAAAAAATAAAATTAAAAAAAAAAAAAAAAAGCAACTAAAAATAACTCATTTAAAGAATATAGTTTACTAAAGAATGAAGAATAAATCATATCAGTTACCTTGCGTGAGCCAAAAACATGCTACATTACAAACTATCCATATTAATATTGTGCTTTGCCGAAAACGCCAACTGAAATGATTTTAAAATTTATAGATCTCAGTATTTAAAAAATTGTACTAAATTAGACTTTGATAAAATATTTAAAATGTTAGCAGAAAATGACACTTACCGTCTAATATCATCAATAAAGTAAAAGATTAGTGCAAATGGTTCAATAAGCCTGGAAAATCTATCCACCTCAGCAACAAATTCAGACAAATCAAGCACCATAGATGTCTCTTTCTGCTTTCCATTATTCTCAGGCTTTCCCATTTTTTCACATCTATATGCAGATGATTTCAAAAATCATTCTTTCAGCATTACATATGTTCAGTGACTTTCTGTAAAAAATGGATAAAGCTTTTAATGATATGTATCAGCAGGAATTAAGCCAGAAGTTACAACCAAATCAATGGCAATAATAAGTACAAAATATTTATAGGATAGTTATAAGATTAGTGCTTTGTGTTTTATAACCATAGGTTACATACTAGGCCTCAACTCTTTTCAGCATGTTCAAAGACTCTACAGAAGGGATATACCTTCTTACATGTGCAAATAGTGGGGTTTTTTTTAAATTTATATAGACTAAGAACTAAGCAAAAATCACATATTTTTTGCAGATGTATCTCATAATAAAGAGGAATGCAAATCTCTCATAGATAGCTTCTCCAAATCCCCAACTTAGATACAAGAATGTATGTAAGAATTACCTCTAATTTTAATTCAAATTTCAAATTCTAGTTTCTAATTCAAAAGGAGGTGTTTGTAACGAGGTGCATAGTCGGTACAGGAAGAGTTACTCTAGTAATTACAATTACTAATTAGTAGAGTGTCTCATGATTATAGACACTGCAATGATCATAAGCAACAACAATGGTAGCCTTCGGTTTTAGTTTTACTTTTGCTTATAGGGGGAATCCTCAATGGGATAAGTGACTTAACTTCAAGTCTTGCTGACATCTGAAAAATATAATTAGGCCCTATTACAGTAACTGAAATTTAGTGCGAGACTATAATGAAATAGATATTTTTCAGGTCTATGCCAGAAAAATTTGCGACTATTTACTACTTTAGTCCTAATGAAGAATTATGGGTTTTTCCGTAGAGCATTCTTGATCAACCTTATATGTAATTGGCATGAGGCCTGACTGATTTAAAATAGATTGTTTATATTGTTGTTTTGAGTTTATATTTAACTCAATGCAACACGCCCACTCTGAGGACTTGTTCTGTCAGAGATTCAAAGGGTCAATTCTAACTAAATATTATCCAAACAATACACACTAAATGATGATACAGCTTTAAAAATGAATCAATTCAAATAAATTTAAAAAACAAACACATGAAACCAAAATAAACATAAAGCTTCAGAAGGTCATACAGTTTTGACCAGCATGCCACATTTGCTTATAACTTTTTCACAATTAGCGATAGTCATGAAAAGTGTTGAATGTTAATTGGGTGATCTCAAGATATAGCATCTGTTATTCCGGAATGGTGCAGCAGTAAAAAACAGTAAATCCATGGCATAGTCTGTCACTCTGTTCCGAAAACCAGTTGAAATCTAGATCTAGAGTCTAACTAAAGTGTCTAAAGCTAGAAATCTAGTTGTGGCAAATCTTCTACAAGTTTTTTTCTGTTTCTTAAAAAACATAATAGGCCTATACATCTATATTTAGTATTTAGTACTATTTAGGCCTAATTATTTAATTAATATAATTGGGGGCCTAGGCCTACTGCACAAGACTTTAAATAATTAATATTTAGATCTAGGCCTAAGTTCAAGTAATTTTCTGTCAATTAAACTTAAAATTAAGTTAAAACATTAGGCCTAGGCCCTATTTTTTTTTAAATTTAGGCCTAATGCACTTGAATTTAGAACTAGAATCTACGATCTATATTTCAATGGTCAAATAAATACCTATGGCTTACTAATACTAAATACTTGATCTCCATAAAACTCCATTTTAGCGTATTTTATTCTCCGCTCCTCGTTTACCTTCAGTTGAGCGTATTTTATTATACTAACCCGAAACACACCAAAACATTAGGAAAACACAATTTATTTATTTGTATTGTATTTTTGTTTTAACAAATGAATAAAAAAACAAAGAGAGAGACTGACTTCGTTTTAGATTTTGATAATTTACTTTTGTCAAAATCCAAATTTAGAATATTGAATGTGCTATGTTCGTGTGTCAGTTAGAATTTTCATGGCAATGGATGAAGTACGTAAGCGCAACTCACAACTGCAAGGCGGTTAAGTTTGTATAGTATTGTTACAAGTATCTCCCAGTACTGTTCTAATGGACACCAGCGAGAAAAGTCTCAAAGGTATTTGAGAGGTGCATAAATTAATTCAAAAATCTTGCACGGCGTAGTTACAATTAATATGGTTATAAAATCCTGTCTTTCTGGTTATTTTCGGACTTTACTAAAGATTGGACGTATTTGATGTTTTTAATATTTTCGGTAACTAAATAAAAATTAAAAAAAAAGCAAAAACATTTTGGTTTTCACGTGTAATGGCGACATAAACAATGGCATCCTGCTATTGGATAGGCCGCCATTAATTTTATTGTACACATTGTAAGCTAAAAATAGAAAACTAGGTCATGGGGTTTTAAATTTGCATTGTTATTTAAAAACTTGATCTGAAAAGTTTTGTAAACAAATAGTTATCGATCACTAAGTTACTTTACAGCCAATCAATATTTGTCTTACGAAAGTGAAACATCCGGTTATAACTTAGGCTTTAAGAAAATAAATATAAATGTAGCCTTAAACTCAACAAATTATTTTCAAGTTCTCTGGATTTGCAACTTTTATAGTGGATAGCATTGATTCTAAAAATATAAAATTTGTAAATTAATTTTAGGCGTAAGTTTTTATTTTTTATTTTTTTTTACGGTCTAAATCTAAAAAGCACGTTTTTATTCCATGTCAACAATACTATGGAAGGAATCTCGTCAACTCGCTCGCCTCCATTCTAATGATGCTTTTTAATTTTTATGTTGTTTTTTTTTTTACCTTTTCTAATTAAAAATCACATTCATAAAAAAATAAGTAGATCTCTATCTAGATCTAGATCTCTGATTTCCAAACGTTTTTGTGTGTTTCGGTTGTGTTTATAATAAATTAAAATACGCTCAACTGGAGAAGAACGTGAAGCGGAGAATAAAATACGCTAAAATTGCGGCTATATTAAATTATTAATCCTATATCCGTGAGATTACCATTTTTTTAAATTTCTAATAAATACCGAAGTTCACTGAAAATGAAAAGTCACTGAATAAGTCTAGATTTCTGATCTAGATCCTAAATCTAGATGTAGATCTAGAATGATTCTAGATCGTCTTGACTTACAAGATATTCTAAATCTTGGAAGCAAAGAAGAAATGTCCTTTTTTCGACAACTTCCTGTTATTAGTATGCATTTTAGAGTTATTTCGTAAAATATGATGAATGTTTTTAACATCAGTTAAAACTTGCCAAGTTGACCTTAAACTTCATTTAGAACCTTTGCAGTGGTGTAGTTGAATATTATTTGTGTTATTGTGTGTATATATTATATATAGTATTATATAGATCTAGGCATATATATATATATATATATATATATATATATATATATATATATATATATATATATATATATATATATAATATACATGTATGTGTATTAGTGGCGTAGCGAGGTCGGGTGTCACCCGGTGCTGCACTTAATGGTGTCACCCCCCAGAGGCGATTTGCACACCCCCCCCCCCCTCAAACTTTCGATTTGCACCTCCCCCCCCCCCCCCAAACTTTCGATTTGCACCTCTTAAAAGACTATTTAACACTCGAATTAATCATTTAATTAAGTGGAATTATCATTTTTCTCTTATATTTTGCTATTTTTTTGCCTTGGTGTCACCACCCCCCCCCCTAAATGGTGTCACCCGGTGCGGTCTGTGTGTATTCATATATTTATGGAATATATATATATATATATATATATATATATATATATATATATATATATATATATATATATATGGGGTCATCCATAAATGACATCACATCTTTTTTGACGATTTTTACCTCCCCTCTGTCACACATCGTCACAAAAAGCCAGAACCCCCCCCCCCCCCCCAAATGACGTCACACATCAGCCTACAACCCCCCTCAAAATTGCAGTTGCATTTTTCTTAAAACATAGATATTTTGCAAAAAAATCTTGTCTGAACTATGTTAAGATAGAGGAATTTAATCAATTCCTATTGCAATTTATTAAAACAATTTACTAAAACGCAAAATATTGGCTAATACTTATTTTCTAATATTTCTTTTTCATAATGCAAAAGTTTGACGTCACATCATCTGAACACCCCCCCTCCCACAAAATTACAGACCCCCCCCTCCCCCTCCCAGTGTGATGTAATTTATGGACGACCCATATATATATATATATATATATATATATATATATATATATATATATGTTTATATATTTATATATGCAGTGGTGTAGTTGAATATATATTTATTACATATATATATACACACGCAATATATTCCCTATAGGGCTGGTAAGTAGGTCAACAACCAGTTCTATGGCCCATGAAGGTTTTATTGAGCCGTAGAACTGGTTGGTGACCTTCTTACCAGCCCTATATATATGAAGACACAGTCATACAAGTAAAAAAAAGAAAATCTCGATTTTGAAGCTGGGTTCAAGTCTGTAGATGGTATGACTTCACCTAGCTCTGATGGGTTTCCCTCAATATGCCAAGGTATCTGAAACAGATGAACTCCACTTCATCTCCCCCATGTGTCTTGGGCACGAACAGGAAAAGATGATGATGAATAAAGTGCATAGAATAATCTATTTTGAAGATGGTATCCTAGTGCGAGAGGCTCTACAGAATACGCGAAACACCTTTGAGATAATATGTGCATTTTTTTTTTGTTATCAGGATATTATGTTATCAGAGAGAGAGGTAAAACTTATTCCCTGTATTCATATGCGCACAAGTGTTTTTAAATTTATATATATACATATAAGTGTATATATATATATATATATATATATATATATATATATATATATATATATATATATATATATATATATATATATATATATATATATATATATATATATATATACACATACATATATATTTACATACATATATGCATTACATATATGCGATGCATGATGAAACTAACAAAGAAATAGAAAATACTTACAAACATGCGAAAATTATTAGAAACAAGAGGTAAATTCCAAAAATATAATCTTTATTAGGCGATTCCCTCTTTTTTGAATACGTATTCACATACATTAAATAGTTCAGCATTTAAAATATACATCAAAAAACAAAAATGACGGATTTCTAAAACTGTTAGATGAATGAATGTGTATTAAGTATCAATACCTGTTGCAACATAACAGATACTTTTCATAAATCAAAAACATACAGAATGAATGAAATCAAAGTGTAATAACCCACAATAATGTGCTAAAGGGCACAAACCATCAGATAAGTCTTCCATTGATTACACATTGTACAAAATATAGCTGACATCCCTCAGCACCTTACACACATAACATAACTGTGTGTACAAACCATATTTTTAATGGAAATATTTGCAGCCCAGGGATGAAAGTATACTGAAAAGCTTTGCTTTATAAAAATTTGAATCAATATATCTTATTTTCAATAGGGTCTCTTTAGACCGCTGTTAGGTTAGAATATGTTTAAAATAAACTTTAAATTCTAACTGAAATGTGTGAAATAATTGAATAGCATAATTTAAATAATTCCTTTTTAATATTAAAGCTTTTTTTTAGACAAAACATTTTCATCACTTGAGTTAATAAATTTTCCATATTGTTTAGTTTTTTCTAAAATACATTTTAAAAAAGCTATGTTTATATCTACATAGTGACTATGCATGTGCTTTTCAATATTAGTTAATCCAAATTATCATTTACAGACCTTTATATTTTCAAGAATATGTTGATAACTTTACATTTCTAAAAATAGAAAGTGCACTGAAAATTTAACTTTTTTTTCTTAAGTAACTTTTTAAAAATATTTTTTAATATTATTTAAGATACATCATTTGTTTGACGATTTATATAGCCAAGTGCCGTAATTTTCTTTGGTTTATATATCTAAGTAAAATATTAAAATTGTAAGAGGTTCATTCTGAATGATCTTACTTAGCAAAACTATATATCTACTATATGAATAATTTTAATTAAATGTTATAAGTACTAATTAGAAATAATGTCAAAAACTGAATTAATCTTATTTGCTTTTATTGACAATATAAAAGGTGGCCTAAAAATTAGATGCAATGTAGCCTCAGTAGCTGTAGACAGTAGAGTACCATATTAACAGTGAAGTTACAAAAGTCTTAAATTTAAGGTGAATCAGGACTTGAACTTGATTAGAAATTAACTATAAAATTTTAAAGATATTTTAAGAACATTTTATATACTTCAATACCAACTAGTGCTGTGTCCTACTATGTTAACCTGCCGTGTCCTGTAGGGTAAACTTTCTTTCAAACCTGAAAAGCTTCTTAAAATGTTAACATATGGTAACACTTCTTTCTTATCCATATTTTTTTAGTAGAGGATAAATTCTAAATATAGTGATAAATCATAAAAAACATAACTTGTGATATTCTCCTTATGAGATCAAAGTTGTTTTGTTAACAAATGCTTTGCAGTAATAGTAAACATTATCATTTATCTCCTTCATGAGTTCATAGGACATCAGAAAAAGCATGTTAATAACTTACAAGCATAATATTCAAAGTTATCATTTTTTTCAAAGCCAAAATCCAGTTAACATTTGATCAGGATTGTAAACAACAAGTACATAAATATGTTACATTTAACAAGTATCACATGCAAATATTTTTGTATTATCATGCGCAAACACATTATTCAAACACTTTTTCATAAATTCAGCATCAAAATAACTAGTAATGATTAAGATAAAATAAAATATTTTACAACACAAACATGCAATTTGAAGATCAGTTAGCAATCAATGAAAGTATCTACATATATTTGATTTAAATTAACATGACAATGAAAGTTCTCAGTTTTAACTGTGTTAACAATTAAGCAATTTTGGAGGCTATGATGTTCAAGATTATGAAAAATTATGGTCTAAATTTATGAAATATGATATTTTATAATTTTCTTATGTGTTTGTAATTACACTATATATATGAAATAATATAAACTAGGCAATCTCTAACACTTGACTAAAATTATCAACATTTCAAAATTGTACTTTATTTTAATTAATATTACAATTAAGTAATGAAAACTAGAATTTTAAATGTTGTTGACAAAATAATAAGGCATTTTTGTGAGATGTAATTACTTTATACATTTCCTTAAAATCAAATTCGGGTGAAAGAAATTATAAAATGGCATGTGACAAATGAAGATCTTTACTTTTTAATATATTAAAATATACTATATACTATAAGACACATGTGAAAGATGGAACATAATAAGATCATAACAAAGCTAGGAAAACTCTAAAATTCATATAATAAGAACACTGAATAATTTACTCACTTCAGTTGACTCTAGCCCAAGAGTTATCAGGTGAAATTGTAATGCACCCATAAAAAGATGTTATATAAATGGACCCCAAATGTTACATTATTTTACAATTCCGTAAATAACATGGTGTAATACGAAAATGTAACTGTTCTAATATAGTCAAACCTACACATTGTCAAGCTAATGTAATATACAGTGTGGTTCACTTATTTAGCATCATTAAAGCTTTTGCATACTTAACGTTTATTCAACATCAATTTTTACAACAATATTCTTATTATTTTAGATTTGAAGTATTCTGTTGTTTTTTCTTTTTTTGTTAAAATAGATAAAAATAAATAAATGAATGACAATTAAGGATAATTTTTTAAAAATATTTTCTTTCTAATACAGATAGAGGGTAATGTAATAACCGAGGCATAATTTATTTAGAATTTACCAAGGTTACATTATGTAATGTGGAAGCAAATTTTAGCACAACCCATAGTGTAAACATGTTTTCAAGCAACAAAAATTAATATTTACGCCATGAAAACTATGTTCCATGGTTTATAGAATAAATTTCAAGTCTCCGTAATATTTCAGGATTGTTATAAATCTGGTTGGCCAGTAGCGATGTGGAAGCATAACTCTGGGCCTTTGAATTGACACACATTACCATTTGAGCACTTTCAAGACTATCACTGCATTTAATGGTATGGAAAATGTGTGTCATACCAGGGTCAACTGCTCGAAATATAGTATAAGAATTTTCTATAAACTTAGTGTACAAATCCACATCTTCCTTTCCCCAGCCACGAATACTTAGATCAAAACCACCAACTTTGTGGTAATCAGTGCGATACATTGCAGCGATACCAAAACCAAACTGCCTCCAGTAACCAGCAGAGTCACTTATATCCTCAGCTTTAAGTATGCACTCTGAACTTAAACATTCACAATGGGGCGAGCCAGGGTAGCATACAGGCTCTGGATCATACTGACTAAACACTATAGGGAAATAAACTTGGGAGCCTTTGTTTGTGTTCAAACGAACTCTCTCAAGAGATGATGGAGAGAAAATAATGTCCACATCAACAAAGAAAAGCAATGCATCATGACTACACCTTTCAGCACCAAGCTGAAGCCCAGGTCCTCTAGAAAATTCTGTATCTGTCAACACAACTTCAATATAATTTTTTCCATATTTCTCTTGATAGAAATTTACTAGATCTAAGGTAAGCCTGTGAGCATCTGCATCCTCTTTAGATTTATATAGAACTAAGACAAGTCTTGCATTTTCTTTAGGCTTTAAAACAACTGTCTCAAAATTATTCATAAATCTCTGGAAAATCTTAAACCTACCCATCAGAGGCATGACTATGTCAATGTACTCAACCCTTTTACTGATATTTTTGGGAAATTCTGCATGTCCTGAAATAATTTTAATCCATGATTTTACTTTGGCCCCAACTCCAGAGTTTTCTTTTTCTACAACTCCATCTTCTTCTTTCAGTTCTACAGGTAAGAAAGCCTGTTGCAAATATGCATGCCTTCGCACATTCATAGACATTTTCCTTCCTCTGTACTTTCTATATGTTAAAAGCAAGTCCAGCACATAGTCTGGCCCATTCATTGGATCCAGACGATAATATCCATACTGAATTTCTTTAAAATCAATAGTTCTACCTCGTAAATGAGCATTTTTATTAACTTTCATTATGACTTGATTAACTAATTCATCTAAAGCTCCTTTAACTGAATCATCTATTCCTCTTCGAGGATTATTATTAAATTGTGAATAAATGGACCTAGCAACAAAATCCCATGGAATGACTTCTTTTCCATTCAGTGGATGAAATTTTTTCAATGTTGGAGGCTGGCTGAGCCCTGGCTCTGATGGCAGTCTGCCATCCATAATCAGATCTGTCATGGCTGACATGTCCCTGTGCAAATGTACTTCCCGCTGATGTTCTGCCATGATTTTTACTGAGCGTAAGTAGTTATAAATACGAAACTGATAGTCAGGATCTTTCACAGGGTGAAGAGATACAGCCTTCTGAACTTCTTTGTTCTTTAAAGTATTTTTAAATGAACCCTTTTCCTCTTTGTAGTTCTGATAAAGAATTTGCTGCATCTGCAAATACAAAAGAAAGAATTCAAGTTTTAAAAAATATATTAGTGAAGTTAAAATTCTTTTTGACATAGCGGTATATAGTGTAGATAATAATTTGTGTCTATAAAAGCTGAGTTGGCTCACAGTATCAGTCAAAAGAAATGTAACTAACCACCTAATAAAGGAAAAATGTGTCCCTAGCTGGAAAAAGGGTGCTTAACTACATTTCCCTCTGGAAATGTGAGGTATTCTAGAGGAAAATTAATTTCAAAGAAACTAATAAAAAAATTGTAGCTGCAGTGAGATTTATGCAAAAAGTAACAATAAAAACAGAAAGTGAAGTATCCTCACAAATTAAAGTTTAATACAAGTACAGTGGATGTTTAGACCCACGTATTTTTTTGTTCCACTATGAAGCTATTATAAGAATTACAATTTAGATTATTTACTCCTGGTGGACACAAATGCCTGTTCTCCTCTCAGCATTTTGTTAACGTGTTGTTCTTTTTTTTTTTGGTATTAAAAATAAAAATGCGTTGCAGTGGTAAATAGCGGTTATAGTAAGATAACCTTTTGTCCGCTATTTGACACGCCAATAGTGGTGTAATATATCCACACATGTATCTGTGATATAAGCGTTCTCTACACAGTGAGAGTTTAATTTCCCCTGACACTGGGAGTGTAATGACAACACGATTTACGCTTGACGTGACCCAAACTTGTCAACAAAAAAATAATGCGGTTAGCGTAGCTTAGCGCTCAGACACTGTTCATGCTTTAATGACGCAGATAATAAAGATAGCGGCAAATGTTACGTTGATTTAAACAAAGTTGATAATACGAATAAATTATTCACGGTGATAACTGTCTGGATAAGGCCCGCATTGACGTTTAATGCCTTTCCTCTGTTGTGGGAGATAGGGAGGGGCGGGTTTGAACTAAAATGTTTACGGTAAAATGTTAGGATGAAATCAATTAATAAGACTATTTGTTTAAACAGAGGTACCGAGAAATAGACGATTAATAACGCCAACAACTACAACATTACATAACACTGTCAGCGGAGTGTGTTGGACGTGTGCCCGAATGTGACAACGTAACCGTCCTGGTCTAGTCGTTATAAAGGGCAGTCAAAAGATGAAATGATCAAACGATTCATAAACAAAACCCCAATACCGACAGACTACAGAAAGTGTACATCAAGCATCCCTGGCAGTATTTCTCGTTACCCGCGGTATTCAACAAATATTGAACCAAGATGCGTTGCTTCTTTCCTTACGACTAAAGAAAGCGGCAAAATTCTGTGACGTCAAGCATAGTCTACCACCCGCTGCGGCGTAGAGTGGGGACACGAGTTAATGTATTCATTTCATCATATGGTAAAACCCCGTCGTATTATCATCAACTTCATTCGAGTGTCATTATGCTTCGTCGCGACGATCTGTGTGTACAGCATGGTTTCGAACCTGCCAACTGAATACGCGAGTGTTAAACCAAGTTATCTTACTGTTGTCAGAGATGAACAAGGTGCAAATATCTGCCGTTGTTGTAGTCATGCTAATGCGACAGCCCCACCCCTCATACAGGCAAATGACGTGCAATACGTGACACAAAGTTTTATTTTTACATTCACATTGTATGGACCACACAAAGAAACACAATATTCAACAGACCAACGGTCCCCAGTCTGTGCCCTAATGTCTTAGATCATCGGTTCTTAATCCTAATCCAATTATTAGTTTGTATATACCCAACATGGCAAGTGTTTTAGTTCGGTAATTAAGGCAAAAGCAGATTAGTTTAGATATCTATCTTTTTAAACACACCACACAATGAACTAAAATAGTTTCTATAGGGTGCCAACGCTTTGAGAATTCCCGGAATAAAGCAGACAATAAGAGTTTTATGGTAATGGCGTGTTTCCTCTTGACAAACCTACGGCTTTAGTCGGCGGTGTCATGTGACGGGACATGTGGGAGTTTTATTACTGGTATGTATTATGTCTCAGTTCAGGTAATAATATCATGGCTCGTATGAACACATACAAATATAACATACAATTCCATTCACGAAGAGGAAGCTAATCCGAGATGTGCACGTTTGATTTGTTCTCCATTGGGGTGTCCATGTACCAACACGATGTGGTAGAGATTTCTCTTCATACCTAACGACCAATATTCAACCCATGTCAATGTTTTAAATCACCCGCTATCTAGGTACCCATGCTATCTGGAGCTTGTACTAAAATCAGCTATTGACTTGTTTCATAAAACGTATTATTTATTCTCTTAATACAGACGTTCTTGCGATTAGTGTTTCTTTCTTTTTCCGAGGTGGGGGGGGGGGGACTTGAAACTTTGAAACGGAAGGGGGGTGGGGGGTACTTGAAACTCGGGGGGGGGGGGGGCTATATTTTCAGGGGGTATATATTGTCTACATAAATTCTATTTAGTTCGGAGGGGCCTGAAAGAAACACTGCTTGAGATAGGGAGAACGGTGTGAAACCATCCGACACGGCGTGTGTAGCTAAATAAATATGCCATACGTGTACATCTATTCTTAGCTTTCACTGGTTAAAGCGGTGATCGGTATCTTGGTTTGTCAGAGGGAAAACTTTTTTTTCTTGCAAGTGTAATTTGAAATCGGGTCATCAGCGAGCAGACACTGGGGGGATTCCTGTCCTATATCGTTGGCCTGCTTAGACTTGATTTTTTTCTTAGGTTTGTTTCATTAAGCACACGGATCAATACACAACTATGGAATACACTAACACACACTGAGTAACCGTGTTAAAAATAAGAGCACCAACATCTAAGAGAACTGTAATTAAAGTAAACTGTAACGAGCCAGACAAACGTTTGTATGTTGGTCACAGCCTGCGTGATCTAGTAACCCAGAAAACAAATACTGGGCCAACATTCACAGACTTGCTCTTTACATTTTAATCCTACTGGCATTCAAGATGTTGACAACTTTCAAACTCGGCTCTACAGCGCGTGAAAGTGTTTTTTTTTTATTTTTTTTTTTCAAATGTAAACGGTGATGTCAGAAGAAACATGTTTTATTTTAAAATTTAGATACAATCTAGATCCTAGTTACATGGCTGAAACTTACAAAAAATAAAATATTGGAAGAATAAAACAGCGGGATATAGATCGAGATCGGCTGATTAATAGCGCAAACACCCTAGTCAATGAACATTCATATGCTCTAGTCTGGCTAAATTCTAGGAGTGGTTTATGATGCGCTACATTCTCACAAAATTATAGGAGTGGTGTAAGAGGTACTAGATTCTGACTAGACTGGGAAACAATAACTTTGCTACATGAGCATTAACATTTTACTTTGCTCAGCCCGAATAGGGTTAAACTTTACATAAGCCTATTCGGAAATGATCAGACGCTCTCTATATTTGAACTATATCATCCGTATTAAAACATTTTGTTTCGCACGACATATCATTAGAGTGTTAAGTGTAGGCAAGTATTACGGGCTAGGTGGTACCATATATTACATTAGAATGTAAGTTGTATGCAACTATTACAGGCCAGGTACCATATATTACATTAGAGTGTAAGTTGTAGGCAACTATTACAGGCCAGGTACCATATATTACATTAGAGTGTTGTGTGTAGGCAGCTATTACGGGGGTATCATAACTAGTTTAGTGGTATGTCTTTTGTTAAGCGTTATTCAAGCGAGGCAATGAAAATTTATCAAGGGCAATAGTATGCGATCCAGTTTCTATGTGGCTATTTTATTCTTCACAAAGGTTTAGCGAACGCGTAATTCTTAACTTGTTTGAAAGAGGGAAAAAGTTTGAAAGATAAAAATAGTCATTGATTTTAACCAGTGAATGTAAAAGAAAAAAAAAACTATATAATGTTGACCCCTTCAATAAAGTTGCAGTGCCCTAGATTTCCGTGAACACGTGAGTTGCCTTGAAAGATACCCCTCCCCCATGCTTCACAAGGAGTAAAGAAGATGGGTCAAATAAGTCCCCTCTTTAGAGAATATATATTATACAAGATATCGATAAAACGAAACCCGGGGCATTTAATCAAAAGCCTAGACATCCAATAAAATATGTGAAATGGGCTGACGACAGAGTATAGATTAGTAATAAGTAAAAAATGCGTATGATATTCCCTTTAGAACAGGGGTCTCCAAACTTTTCAGTCCGAGGGCCGCATTAACTATCAAATTTCAGTTCGGGGCCATTTCTTCCAGGCATGTCTTTGATTTTCTGGGCAAACTCCCTCAGCCATCGCCAACTAACGTTTTTTTCCGTGGACAAAAAGATCTCTGCGGGCCGGATAAGAGGACTTCGCGGGCCGCATCCGGCCCGCGGGCCGTAGTTTGGAGACCCCTGCTTTAGAACATTTACTAACAAACATATCCCTAATCCTATCCCTATAATGTTTACGGTCAACGGTGGCGGGGGGGGGGGGGGGGGGGGAGAGAAATCCTCCAACTGCAGATTTTTTTGGCGGAGCGGTAATGACCGTGACGTAATTGACAAAAGCGAGAGACAGGGAGAAAACCACTCCTTGTATCTAATACTATAATGGGCCACGTTCGCACATCTCTCTCTCTCTCTCTCTCTCTGTCCGCAAAAAATTTTCGCCGGACATCACGTCAGAAACGGCAGCAATATATGTAGAACTTTATACGGACTTTTGTTGAAAATAATATGTTAGATGTTTTAAATGTATAACCACAATTTTATTTAAAGAAGAAAAATATAAAATAAAGGCGTATTCGAATGTAGAGAAACAGTATTATTTATGCAACCGGAAAAGCATTAATAGATGTGTAAAAGAACGCATAAAACTGTGACGACACTATTGCTTACTAATGACGTCATCTGCCGTGTTTAGAATAAAAAAGAAATGAACTATTTCATTCAAATTTGATTTAGATCTACGTACACTATGAAATGTATACAATACAATTTTTCCGGCCTAAACTCATAACAAAATCTTTGTTTGGAACTGGCTAATTTGGGATAAAAAAATTAA